GATAAGCGGTTTACAATGTTTTTACATGATAAGCCACTATATTATGTGCAAGTATTTATTCCAGATCATCGCTTATTTGACAGAGTCCTTAAACTAAGGTCCAAAAACAACGTGCACTTACATTGTGCTGGCTAATGATTCAAGTTGGCATTGAAAGATCCCGTGTCAGTATTTCAAAGAAAGAGTAGGAAATGCCTCTCGATTGTCTGGGCTAACATGCCTCTCTCACCCAATTAATTCTGAAACGTTTAGACTGATTGGGTATTCATCACATTATCATTTGTCGGAAGATGGTGGTGCAAAGGTAGCTGCAGCTTTTGCCTATATAATAACATGTGCTGTGTTTCTAATTATTCTCATTTTGTAAAGCACTTTCATGTAACAGTTATTGTCTAAATGCAGGTAGCCGTTAGTGTCTCTTGACTTCATTTGTTATGTTGTATGTGGCTTCCCTACTATGCTGAAGACACGACTCATGAAGCAACACTCCAGTGCCTTGCACAAGTGCTCGTTTCCTCAGGTGTGAGCCTACACATAATATATCACCAGCAGCCTGTTTGACATTGCGGATTGGGTAGAGGGAGGAGGCCTGCAGAGGATTGTCCTTGTCCGATGGTCCCATGTGCATATGTACAAAATCCAGCAGTGGTTACTGATTAATGATGAGTAACGGGAACCTTGGATGAATAATGTTGTTCCGAGCCACACTGATCTAATCTGTCGTGCCCACTTCTGTCTTATCTGAGATAAGTTTACTCATTATAATTAGGGATTGAATTTGGGGCCTTCCTCATCTGTATGAATCAGAGCTTCTGAATCATGGGAAAAGCCCTTAAGGAATGTCCTTAAGGTTTCTCTAAAATCTATAATTGTTACTATCCAGATCATATGAATTTACTTAGTTGTGTTTTGTTTCTAGGGGAAGTTTAAAAGAGAAATAGAAATGTCTGTGGTTCTCTAAAATGTCAACTGTATAATCAGGCAGCTGTATGCTGACTTGGTACAAATCTTTTTGCTGTGTATCATGATCAAAAACCTCATAGCTGTACAAACTGTTCTTACCACTCCCAGCATGTATTATGCAGGGTCAGCCAACATGTTGAGAGGAAGTGATGCTCTCTAATTATTGACTCAAGACTGGAATTGGCAGACACATTAAACCTTCCATTATAACTGTTGTTCAAGCGTTGTTATCTGCAAGATATTAAACCAAAATATACACTTATTTTGTTTGAGATTGTTTAATGAACTATTGCCATAACTTGCTGGATCTTACTGTCTACCTAGTAGTGTTGGATGGAGTCTTGGGCTAAGATGAAGGCTATTTAGCTTTAAGATCTAGTAAATGTGGAAGTGCTGGAGTTTAGTGTTAAAATAAAAAGGAATGCCAGTTTTAACTGCTAAGAATTGGTGTCTGGTCCATTGGATTGGTAAGATGGAGGAAAAGACAATTCAGTAATTAATGAGCTGCATACTTATTGCTAAAATTTATAGAGCATCCACAAATATATTGTAATATTCTCTATTCTTTCACTGTGCCTCTACAAATTGTGAATATTTTCAAAGATCACAAACTTGAAGAGAATGTGACTATAGAGCAAGTACTTTTGCTGCTGCTCTCTTTTTCCAAAAATGTGGGGAAAGCTGTTAAAGTCACTCTTGTTTATTGGATCAAATTTCATTTTCATCTTCTTGGAGATGGCTTCTTGGAGGCTTGCCATGTTAGCTCTGAAAGCTAGAGAAGAGCCACTCAGCTGATATTAGTGAGTAGGTTCATAAAAGTTGCTCAGGCCTGCAACTCTTGGGCTTAAATACCAATGCGGAGGAATCAGTCATGTAAAATTTCAGTGCTAGCCAAGTGCACAGGAGTGCTCCTAAGTATTTGTTTCTGCAGTCTTCAATGTTCTTTAGACCCAAGTCCTATATGAATTTGGATTACTAAAATAAAACTGAAACGGTAAAAAGCTTGCATGTTTTTTTCTACCCTTCAATATTGTCTTTATGCATCCTGCAGCAGGAAAATACTAATGGTAGGTTACTTACTTAGTGATTGTCCGGTGAAACTTCATAATCTACAGTAAAATATAAACTGACTGTATTATTAAATGAGTCATAAGTATGGCTTGTTAGAATGCGAATATTTCTACTTGTCAGGACATTGTTTACTTCTCTAAATTGCTGCTGTTTAAACCACAATATTTTGTAGAGGTTTAAATATGTTTTTGGATACTTGGTGATGAGGCAGAAGAAATCATCGAAATGTTGGAATTTTGCCATTTCACTGGTCGGTAGAACTGGTTAGAAACCTATCCCAGGAGAATTTAAATATATACAAACTGTTTTATCTCGAGGATACCTTGGCTCCTGATTTCCTTTCCACTGCTGTTTCCCTCAGTCTGCTGCCAAGATTGCAGGTGGGCAACCAGTTCTCAGACATTTAGCTCATTTTAATTTAGATTCAAGATGATATCAATCAGTCTAACCCTAACCAGTAAGCCAGTGAGCTGTGATGCTACTTGGAAGAAAAAGTCTGAGGAAATGTGTGAAGGTCACTACTTTGGCCACTTTTGGCCCTTCGTGGGGTGTCAAGAAGTGGCCAGCCGTACACCCACACCAGTCCAGGGATGTCTGCATCAAATCACTACCTTGTTTCCAGTAGCTACCAAGCTGCGATACTTGTATCAAATACCCCGTAAAATTGGTTACTCACTCCATGGCTGTTTGTGGGACACTGTTGTGTCATTGGCGGGAGAGCCTTCAGCCACTCTGCCCCCAGCCTCTGGAATTCCATCCCCCATTCACTCCGCCTCGCCCCTTCCTTAGCCTCCTTCAAATCCCACCTCAAAACCCTCCTCTTCGACCATGCCATCGGTCATCCCTCTTCCCCTCCCCTCCCTTCTCCCTCCCTGACCCCAGCTCGGGTCTGAAATGCTATACAGTGTCCAGCGCCTTGGGACGTCCTCCCGACATGAAAGGCGCTATACAAATGTAATCTTCTTGTATGGGCAAAAAACACCCACAAAATATACAATAAATCCACTTTAAATTATATCCTGTGAAGTGCTTTGAGACATCTCAACAACATAAGATGATATTATCAAACCAAAGGATTATTATTAGAAAAAATGGCTTTTCATTTAAGAACGATTTACCTCAGATATTTGCTGGTCTTGTAACTAACCATTGGTTTGAAAGCACTTATGCATTTTTTATTTTTTATGAGAAAAAGTGAAGTTTCAAGATTCTGTAGCATTTGTGGGAATGAGCTAGCAAGCATGTTGGTTTCAATATGTTGACTCCTTTTTCTCTTTGTTTTACTATTCTGTTATTGTAAATGGAAAGCTGTAAAATTCTAACTTCAATCATCAGTTATTTTCATGTGAACGCTCAAAGTACTATTTTCAGCTAAATGTATTTGGAGTTGTTTTCATTGTATGTTTTTTTTCTTCATTTTATTTTCTCTCTCTGACTCCTGAAGACAGTGGCTTATTTCTGTAATTCATTTAAGTGAGCGAGAATTCTTCATGTGTGAGACTGGATGAGGGATTTGCATTATACTCAGATGAATTGGTAACGCATGAATATTGACTTCTTTATTGAGGTACCAGAGGGTGACCAATGTTGGGGAGAAGTGAGATATCACTGCCGAACATTTTCCTGCATGTCAAAATGTACACTTGACAGCAAAAATCACTGGGTAAGAATGAAAAACTACCTCCATTCCAACTCCCTCCAACAGCAACTTTTAATCATACAGCACCCTTCACAATCAACAACAACAACAACAACAACAAGATTTCATTCATGGAGCGCCTTTCACGTCGGGAAATTTTTTAAAACTTTTTTTTAAGAAAAAGCCATGTATATTGAATTTCATAATTTTCATAAAATGATTCGTTCTCTTGAAATTCAATTTTGATGACTTTGAATTTTGACCATGAAAATATTCTGCAAAGGTGATGATGCAGAATTAAAAAGTTAGAATTGCTATTCTAAAGCTGTTTTATCACTTGCATAAAATAAATTATGTTGATTTAAAAGTCTCTTTGAGATACCCCCATAAAAGAAGATAAAAATACCTCTACTTTCTTTGTCCCACTTACCATCTATTGGCATCCTGAACCACCTAATTAGTTAATTTATTGTTATGACAGTTATGTACTGATGCAGCAAGAGGTGGCATCTTGTGTGCTGGTTTCAGACCTGATCCTGAATGCTGATCCTCATCTTAAATTAGAAATGTAAGTAATTATAGTGTTAATATACTGTACTAGTCTTAATTTACAGAATATGATTCCCACTGTAAGCTTCCTTTTAGCATTTGTAACTTTATTAAAGATGGTTGGAGTAATTGGAAGTATTGACATATTCTTCTGGTTGTGGGTGGGGGGGGGGGGGGGGGGAAAGAACAAGTGGTAAACAGGGGCTCTCCTACTGTCTGGGTTAAAGCTGGCTCCAAGAGTGGAGGGGGAGTGTAACACTCCCTGTTTAATTTTGAGTGAGTGCAGTATATCTGTATTGTTTGCTGCAAATCCAAACTACGTGGTCAAATCTAACCAACTTAAAATAATACATTATTGTACAGCAGGCCTGCCTTTTGTGAAATGTCATTATGTGTGTGGGAGTCGACATCCTTCCTGGACCTGCGTGCTAATCCTCCTGTTCCAATCACTTCTCTCTGGCTGGAATATCTGATTTTGCAGGTTTCCATCGGGGTGCTTTTTCTGCGGAAATTACTTTTTTTTTCCTTTGATATATTTACTTCCTTTCAGAAAATCCAGACAACTGGCGTGACTATATTTTTGTTTAAAATTCTTTTAAAGTTCTCCTTCTGTTTTTCAATCCTCCTAACAGTGTAAGTATTCCAGATTCTGTAGCCTCTTTTTGTAATTCAGATTCTTTATCCCATGTGTTTGTTTAGTTGCCCACAACTGTATCTTCTTTGTCCGGATGTCCTTACTGTCGTGCAGTGATAAATAATGTGCACAAGTGTTCCAGGTGGACGGACCAGTATAGTGACCCAGCAGACTTGCTTCCGAGGAATTTATGGTTTCTTCTTCTGTCTTCACACCATCTGAGTATGTTTACTTTTTTCTGACTGTTGCTTCACTTTGTGCTCATCGTTTCAGCAATGTATCCTTCCATACCCGACTTCAATGCTTTATCTTGTTGTCTTAACAATTTAGCATATTCACGCAGTTCAGTCCCCATCCCCAGTTTTGTTGCTTTGTATTTATTCATATTTAATAACTTCTGCCACTTGTCATATCACCCTCTCTCTATATCAACATGTCTCTGTATTTATTACAATATCTCCATTTGGAATTACTGAGTTCAAGACCCACATGTTTGAAACTGCAGGCCTAACAGGAAGACACACTTGTGATCTGACATAATTGCTTTGTTTAAACCTGTTTGTTGGTGGGAAATGGTTCATAATGGTTGGAATTGTTTCTTTTGTTTACCTCAGCTAGAATATTCAGTTTCTTAAATTATTTAAAAGCTTTATTCTTTAATATAATCCACATTACTTAAGTAGTTGAGAAAATAATAAAGAAATGATATGGAGAAAGAGAATGGGAATCAGAGTAGATAGCTCAAGTGGGAAGCTAGAATTAGGCATGAGGGACTGAATGGCCTCCTTCAGTGCTGTAAACATTTTGCTCATCTAAATTATGTGGTTATTAGTCAAGGGAAACAATTAATTTGTACAAAGTGTTGATTAAAAAATTAATGCTGACATGCAAATTGCTAGAAGTTCACGTATAATTGCGGTTCTCAAACACATTGTTCATTTTCTTGCTAATTTGCCTTCTCAACATGTTTTTATCAGAATGCAGCTGTTTCTTAAGGAAATGACTGAAAAACATTCAAGAGGATGAAAATCTGTTGCGAAAAATAGTTTTGAGTTTTTTTAATTACGATGTTTGTTTTTTACATGCACAGAAAAGGTTTACACACACAGAAGGTTTACTTTTCTAACTATTGATAGTTTTCAAAAAAATTTAAATGAATAAGACTAGACTTTTAATGGTATGCAGTTATTTCCACAGGCCTGACAGAACTTGTCGACTTGCTCTAGTACTTAGCTGATACATGCTTTGTGCTGGTAGTTACCTGATCGATGTTTTGTGTTGGAACAACCTGAATGTACCCTAAAAGTGTAAAGAAAATCGCAGAATTAAAAACTAATCATTGGATTAATTGTGTACCTCTTTATGTTAAATTTGTGATGTTCTTTCATGTTAGGTTTAGGCGTAGATTGCTGTATTGGAAGTCTTGATCAGTCTTGAATTGCCTTTGGATATCATGTTTCTGGAACATTGTCTGAGTGTTTTATGAGTTGCATTACTGCAACTGGTCCAGGAGCTACCTCTCTAAAATTATGATTCTTTATCTTTATCATTAAAATTGTCACTTTACTGAAAACTGAGATGGCACAACAGGAACGATTGCTTTGTGCCATCTCAGTTTTCAGTTAAGTGGGATTAAAACAACAGCAATAACTCTGGGCGCTTGATTAAGACCATATAAATGGCAGATTTAAAATTGTTGGGACACCATCTGTTCTTTTCATGTCTATGCCAGTAAGGATGCCCGTGGCTGATAACCAGGCCTTTAAATAATGCAGATGCTCAGACATTAATTTCTTCTCCCCTGCTAATTTTTTTCCCTCATCGTTATCTCCTGAAGGCATTTCTTTCTACTGGTGGTATGGTTCCATAGTTACCTTTCCCACTGACCTTTATTCATATGTGAGCAATGATTATAAATATTAATAAGATATTCAGCTATTTGGGGCGGGGTTAGAACTATACTAATCTCTCTTTCCTCTCCCCTCCCCTGTAGCAGAGATTGGGCATTGTAGAAGCTTTACTGATTTAATATTGATGCTAATTTGCTTCAGGCATGAAAGATTTAGGTGTGAAAGAACATAACTATTTTTAAGTTCTCTATAGATCCACGTTATATTTTCTTGAATTGAAACATTTTAGTAGCTTTACAGAATTTGCAGCATTCATTTCTGTTCATAGAAAATGAAGTGAACTTCAGAGCTGTAGCAGAGCCATCAATCTCCAAACTAAGTCACTTTTTCTGAACTAACATGTTGTCTCAGCTGTTTTTCCAGCTACTGACTGCTTTTTCGCTACTTTATTGTAACAACTGTTGGGTCCTCTTTCATTTTATTCACACACCTAAGGTTGCTGTCAATCTATGCTCCCCACAGAGAATACAACACTTTTCAACCTATAGAATCATCATCATCTGTTTTAAATTGATCACTGAAAACAAGGCAAGACATAGGGCAGGCAATGCTTCTAATTGTTTGTGTAGCCTTGATAAGGGATGAGAGCGGATCAGCTGCCTGCTCTCTTAGTTGAACAGTAAAGTGGAAATCTGGAGGACACTTAAAATTAGCGTACAGTAGTCTGTGACATGGATTATTGGGAGGTGATTTCCAATACGGTGTGATGATTTGATCTGATCTTGGCTGAACTATCAGGAAGTGACAAATTACATCTGGCAAATTACATCCGAAAGGTGTACATCCTGGACTATGCAGCGCTTTAGAATATCCTCCAGACGTGAAAGCTGTTAGCTATATAAATGTAAATTTGTTGCTGTATATCTGACTGCTTCCACGTCGATGTTCTTTTTTTTGTCTTCTGTTATACTGTACCAACTTCAACAGATATAGATTATCTCTGAAATTATCCATATTGTTTGGTGAAAGTTAATTGCTAAAAAAAACCTATTTTCTCTGAACACCCCTCCCTCCAGATTCTCCAATGTTTTTAGCTATTTCTTGCCTCTGATATGCATGCACATCGCAATCCTACCACCGACTTGCAATTTAAATTACCTGATTACCATGCTTCTGTGTCTTTGAGGATGTGTTCTTTATGCTAAAGTATGGTTCCTTGGCATCAGAATCACTTATAATTGTTGCTAGTAGTCTGAGAGAAGGAGTTGTACTGTGAAAGAAATTATGGTGTTTTATGGCCGCTTTTAAAATGGACAGAAAATCAAAATCAATTTCAGATTTTTTAATGATCTTAGGCATTTTGGCATCATAATTTCTCCTCTTGATTTTCTTCCACTTTTTTGACATGAAAAAGCACCCGAAATTTGTTTTTATTTTGGGTAAAATAGACTTTAATGGCGCATAAGCCTGATAGTGACTGTCAGGCTGTAACAGTGGGACACTGTATTATCCACTGATTCCAAATTACATGATCGCTGGTCGCCAACTATTTTTCCTTGTTCATTCATCCTTCATATAAAGCTGAATAGTTCTCAGTTGTGTCTATCCATCAGGAGGTGACATCCAGCTGATGTTGTGTTCACCACAGTTTCAGGGATAAGTAACTGTGCTTTCAGATGCAAATGTAGCTAATATTAGAAATTGCTTTTATGCTTCAGCAGCAACTATGACCTGTTTTATAGTTGTTAAATCTGAAGAACTTTAATGCCCACAATTTATGTTATTATCCCCTTCCTTCTGCCTTCTGTTAAAAAAATTGAAAGCATAGTTTTGAATTATTAATTTGGCTTGCAAAATAACTTGACAAAGGGCGGGCACTGTTGTGTTTTCTATAAGTCTTGTCTTTAATATTCAGCAGTGGCTGAGGTGCTGTTCTAATTTTATAACAATAGAACTATATTGCAAACTTCTTTTGAGAACCTTTTAGTGTAATGTTTTCTTGATCCAAGAGTTTTCAGAAAAGGAACTCTGACATTGATGAAGTGAGCAAATATAATTCAATGGGTTAGGAAATGTGAGACTTCAGAATATTCTGCTATCTAAATCTTATTTCGACCTCTGGTAACTAGAAGGACTTTTCTCTCCTCTGCTGACAACAGTGACTTATGCTAGAATATAGTTTTATGATTGCTGATACCCTCTGTCATGTTTCCAAAGTGACGATAGTAAAACTCGCATAAGTCTTATTTTTATAAATCGTATAATCAACAGCAATAATAACAACTACTTGCATTTATATAGTGCCCTTTACTCGTGGTAGGCTTCCGAAGCGCTAATAATCTAAGTCGTACATGCACTCGAGTCCCATTCAGTTTCCTACCAAAAATACTTAATTCTTTGCACTAGTCACATTTCGTTAAAGAAATCATCTCCTAACTTGTAACGCCGTTAGCGTACTTACTGCCTGCATTGAATTGCGGGAAATGTTCTGACCCGTCAACACGTGCACTTACTGGCTGCACTGAAGTATGCGTGCGCAGTGTAGATTATTGATTACATCGGATTTTATATGATTTATGCAAGTTTACCTATAACTCTCACTTCACGTAAGTCATTAAATGTTATGGTCCTGACTGATCCAACTTATGTGAGTTTTTTTCCTTCATGTGAAAGTCTAGAGTCTTCTGTCTTGATGATCTAGACAGTATCATCAAGCTATGAGATCAATATTAGCCAAAATATGTACCAGCGCAGTTCTAGGTGACTTTGCAGATTCAAAGGAAACCAGCTATAAGGTACTTAAATCTGTTGTTAATTGAGCTAAAGGTATTTTGAATGATGATAATGTCATTAAATGTTTGTCTCATCAGGTGGCGACAGACAAGGTTACAGAGAAATTGAGTTCCACTCTCTCATGGGTGAAGAACACAGTGTCTCACACTGTCAGTCAAATGGCTAGTCAGGTGGCAAGCCCATCTGCAACATCTTCATCCCTACATACTACATCCTCATCTACAACACTCTCAACACCAGCACTCTCACCAGTATCACCAACCCAGCTCAGTCCAGATGACCTGGAGTTACTTGCCAAGTTAGAAGAACAGAACAGGTAAGTCTATGACTAACGTTCTCTTCCAGACAAATAATAATATTTGTTTTGTCCATACAAGTAAGATATGTATAGATAAACGTACCATCCTGGTATAGAAGAAAACCATATGGACCAGAAGGTTGCATGCTTGATTGTCCCATTCTAAGTCAGTTGTCTCAGCTGGGGAATATTTGGGATATTGAAATAAGCTGTGCCATCCCTGGACTAAAGTGGGGGGAAAATCAGCAGGGTTCTTGCTCACTCTCCACTAATGCCTTCTGGAAAGTGCCTAGGAATCTTTATTGGGTCAGCTGTTAAACATTTTCTGTTCAAATATACTACATCATTGATTGTCTACACTGTGTATAAAGGTGTGGCAGATGGCAGCTATGGCTGCACTGTGGCCAACTCCAAACCTTGAGTTGAAATCCTCTTTTGATTTTATTCACATTTAGCTGCCAAATCCTGAGATTTCATTTACACCAAACGGTATATAAGCTATAGTGTAAACTAATATTGAACTTTTTTGGCATTCATTGTCAGTATTGGTTGCTGCATATCAACTGCAACACATTCAGCTTTGAGGAAAAATGCCACAATTCTCCAACCCCAAAAAAGGCCCCTCCATAGATACACAATATGGTAGAGTCTGCTGTTGAAGGTTAGGGGGAGGGGTTTCATTTGTTTAAATTGCAGATAATTTATTTGTTCAATTGAACTGGATTATGTAGGACTTGAGCCTTGTTTTGAAGCTATACTGTGAAATTATGAACCTCACACGGTAAGGGTATTTTCAACTAAGCTATCTTTAGTTGTTATAATGCTGGCATTGCTGTGAAATTGCCAAAAAACAGTGAATACAAATTCCAGCAAGGTTGATCAACTTATTTGGAATTGCATTTTGTTTTCAGAGTCCTAATGTTAAATAGTTCTGTAGTTCTAAATGCTATCTAGTATTTTTAAGCGTGGGTGTTCAAAGTTAATAAGCGCAATTTTTCCCATGTGAGCTTTTTAAAATCTGCTAAACCCAAGCAATAGTTTTTGTTAAAATGCACGTGTGTGTGTGTGTGCACATGCATGTCCATGTTCTTAAGACTTCCATTGTCAATGAGATGTGGTGATAGAGCTGGGGTTAATTTTTGCCGATTTGAGAGGAAGTGTTCAAAATGTTATGCAAATTTGTAATTTTACATGGGCCCTTGTTGACCTGAAACCCAAACTACATGTCCTGGGGTGTTTTTTGCTTTTAGGAAATGGTCACTTCTTTGATGCTTCTGGTGACTGACTTGCTATGCTGGAAGGTGATCCTTAAGATGAATTAATTGAATTAAATGGCATTATTGGCAGTTCTGATAACAATAAAGCAAAATATCAACGTTTTTGCAAAAAATAGTGATGGATGATTTATTTCACCTGCATTTTCAAGATCGGATTTTCAAATTTAATCATATGCTATATACTTTGGAAGCGTTATTGTTTTACGATTGTAGTTGCAGAATGGTCATTAAGTTGGAAAGAATATATTTACCTTTTTTTTAACCTCTGGTATTTTATATTTTACTATATTTTATATTCCAGTTTCTTGAGAGAACATGGTGTGCTTTTCTTTTGATCCTGTGATGTTTTTTGCAACTGGGTTATCAGTGTTTAAGTACTTGACTACCTTGCAAGTTTGTACTGCAACCTCAGTATTTGCGTCTGCAAATGATTAACAAATATATATAGACTAAGGAGGTTGTGCTTTTTGGCCTTTCAAAAAACTGAAAATTAAATTTGAAGTACAAGTACTGCTCAGTTTTGTACATTTGAACAAGACTCAAAGGAAGATATTTAGTTTTGATCTCAGTGAATGTGATCGTTTTGGTCATTTTTCTTTTTGACTGCGCCTTTGGTCACCTTCCTCCCCCTCCTCCTTGGCTCGGCCCCGGGATCCGGTACTGTGAAGCGCTCTGAGACGCCGTCCGGAGTGGAGGGCACTATATAAATCCAAGTTGTTGTTGTCCCGATTGATGTTACGGTTGGTGCAAAATCAAAATTAGCAGCACAGCATTTTCACCCAGAGAGGAATTGTTAATCAATTGAATCACCATGAACTTTTTACTGTGTTAGTTTTGTTTTGGTTATTTTGCACTGTGTCACTATTCACCAGGGGTAAATTCCTTGAGATTTGAAATAGGAAAGGAGAGATGACTTTGTACTGAGTTTAATACAACAATAACTAACAAGGGTGCTGCTTTTGCTTGCATGTGAAGATTTGTCATCTGTCACTGAATTACATTGTCAGTCATGAAAAGGCTCCAATTACTGCTTTAACTTCACAGATGTCATGCATAATGTATTCACCACACCCCTGAGTATCATATTTCAAAAAGATTTATGATGGATACCAATGGGCTTGTCACAGTACTGATATTATCTTTGTTATATTAATCCATTGTACTTGTCCCATATCCATTTTTTTACCACAGCATTCACAATGAACAACAACAACAAACTTACATTTGTATAGTGCCTTTCACGTCGGGAGGACCGTCCCAAGGCGCTGGACAGACAGAGTTACGGACCCGAGCTGGGGGTCGGGGTGGGGGAGGGTGGAGGGCAACGGGGGGAAGCAGGGAGATCGAAAGCACCGTCGAAGAGGAGGGTCTTGAGGTGGGTCTTGAAGGTGGCGAGGAAGGGGCCGAGACGGAGGGACTGTGGGATGGAGTTCCGAGGGTGGGGGCAGAGTGGCAGAAGGCCCGCACGCCAATAGTGGGGCGGCAAGGTGGGGGCCATAAAGCAAAGATTGTATTTATTGTAAAAACCCACACTCAGGCTCCAAACCTTATAATATGATCAAATACAGTGTGTATATACACGTATATACATGTTCGATTCAGTAAATGAAGCCATATAATGCTAGTTTAACTGACACATCACAAAAGATTCAGAAACTTAAAACAAATATTTCCAATAATGTCAGTAGCCGGATGAGTCTATATCTGTGAGGTTGCTGCTGCTGAACTCATGAAAGCTTAGTCATAAGGTAGTGGAACAAGTGAAGTGCAAATAATGAAGAACTGCATATACTCTACCTACTCTCATGTTCTTATCTCTCTTCCATTCTCAGAACGATAGCACAATAAAAGCACTTGAATACCTCACACCTGCTGCAAATTCATGTGAAACCCGTGGGTTATATTCGTGTCATTAGTTCACAGAAATACATTTGTAAATGTGGTCTCCGTGTCTAAAAATAGATATATAAACTTGCTTGAATATATCTCAAGAAGAGACATCTGTAAGTATTGGTAGATTTGACCACCATAAAATAGGTAACTCAACTGAATTGGTACAGGTACATTTAAATATTACGTTCAAATTATGAGACATTTGGTTTGGGGACTAGATCTCAGGATAATGTGACTGAATGTGTCTGTGATTCATCAAGGAAATTCTTTTCCTTCCAGTCCCAAATAAACTACTGAAGAAACTAATGGAAGAGTACATTTATTTATGAATTAAGGCATTTTAATGTTGTCAAAAATGCTGAGGTTCTGGTTTGCATCTATGTGGCCTCACCCAAAGTTATGTTGTTTTTACGGAATAGAGTTTCATGGAAGTCGCTGTTGGCTTAACTCCAGATTTAGTTTCAAAAATAAATTGCAATCAAGAGTAATTGCACACGTAAATGATGCTAAATATACCAAGCTCTGCGCAATAGCATTATGTCATTATTGAATTATTAACAATACATTCAGTATATAATGGATTGCTTGGCTAATCTTCGACCACCTAACAACCAAACATCTGGATTCCCTCAATAAATAAATGTAGACCATAATATGAATTGCTATAAAATAGGATAAACAAAGAAAAAAATGTTGAAACTTTGCCAATGTTTGAAGCTAATCTGAATAGGCATAATACAAAGAAAAACTGTTTAAACTTGTTTGGAAGGAGTTACTATACAACTTGTATAGCCTGACATTTAGCTTTGTTAAACAAAACATATTTTTGAACCATGTTCTCTGTTGTCATTACGTCGAGGCTCAACTATGCTCGACGTGGAGTCCTGTAGCTCAGTGGTTAGAGCACTCGCCTTGCAAGCGAGACACCTGGGTTCAATTCCAGACAGGACGAAACCTTGGGAAAGTTTCCTTACTTCACACCCTAGTAATAATCCCTCCAAAACAAAACAATAATAAGTTGGTCATTTTCAATCCACAACTGTTTTGTGGGACACTGCTGAGCGCAATTGGCTGCCGCATTTTGCCCACAAATATACAATCAGTTCACTTTATAGCATATTCTGTGAAGCACTTTGAGACATCTAAAAGATGTGAAAAGCGCTATACCAAATGCAAGGATTATTACTATTATTTTTCAAACTCATTGCTTGTCGGCCTCCACGACTCCTCCTTCCACAGGCTGCAGATCATCCAGAACTCTGCAGCCCGTGTCCTCTCCCTCACTAGGCTCCGCGACCTTATCACCCCCATCCTTGCCCGACTCCCCTGGCTTCCCATCACACAGAGGATAGATACAGTTCAAGATCCTGGATCTCACCTTCAAAGCCCTCCATGGTCTTGCTCCCCCCTACCGCTCCAACCTCCTAACCCCCTACCAACCTGTTCGCTCCCTCCGCTAAGCGGGCTCCGGCCTGCTTCACGTCCCCTGCTTGCTTGCCCCACTATTGGCGGCCGGGCCTTCTGCCACTCTGCACCCACCCTCTGGAACTCCATCCCGCAGTCCCTCCGTTTTGCCCCCTCCCTCACCACCTTCAAGACCCACTTCATAACCCTCCTCTTTGACCGTGCTTTCGATCTCCCTGCTTCCCCCCCCTCCCCCACCCCGACCCTCAGCTCGGGTCCATAACTCTGTCTATCCAGCGCCTTGGGACATCCTCCCGATATGAAAGGCGCTATACAAATGTAATTTTGTTGTTGTTGTCATCTTTCTTCCATTCTTCTACTTTCTATTTTCTATTGATTTCTGTTAAAAATCCAATATCTTAAACCATTTGATTCTATGCACTGCAACAGAAGTCGATGCGTTTCACTTTAGATGTATTCTCTGACTTTTCAAACCTCAGTGTATTAAGTTCCCACTCTATAATGAGCTTTGTTCCAAGGGATGTTGGAAATTTTAAGGACATTAAACGTCTCAGTAAATGTATTATAAATTGGTCATTCACTTCACTCTGCAAATTGGCTGCTGCCTTTACCAACGAATGCAGACAGTACCCTTGACACCAATAATCCGTGAAGCATTTCGAGACATTATAGGCACTATATCATATGTAAAGATTGTTATTACTACTGTATTGTTCCTTCCAGGAGTCAGCTAATGGAATGGAAGGGGTGAGTGGTAATAGACAACTCTTCTTCATCCTAACCAATCAATATAACGATGGCAAATGCAAGGATTATAAGGATTTGATTAGTATTGCTGATAACATTCGCATTGACTGGAAACTTTCAATGAATCATAAATAATCCTATCCAAAGCCCTTTCTTTCTCCACCTTTGGAATGTACCGTTTCATTGTGCACAGATGTTGAATGTTTCTGTTCCAGAAAGCATTACCATACATTTACTTGTATTAAAATTCATCTGCTATTAAACGCACAACTTCATTGAGTGCTTGTGAATGGGGGCAGATGGGTGGGGGCTTTGCTGCTTTATTGCTGTACTTGTGTATCTGTTGCAGCTACACTTGCAACGAAAGGATCCAATATGGAATGTAGATTGACACACAGACAGACATTTCATCTTTATCTATACACACCTGGGAGGACTCCTGTGGGAGGACTTATTTTGGCTGTGCTGTTCTTTGAATGGGCAACTCATTTTGGTCCGCTGTTCTAGTCCTTTCAGCATTGAAGTGCAGCCGTTCTTTGTTCTTCAGTTTCATTTTAATGGGCCTTCAATCTTTTGCCTAGCATTTTAACTTATCCTTGAAAGGTTTGATTTTCGCTTTATATAGGCATCTTTACAACGATAAATATAAATGCATCATTTATAATGGGACGTCCTCCCGACGTGAAAGACACTTTAAAAATGTAATTTTGTCGTTGCTGCAGCTTAGCTTCATCTGTGTTCTTTACTTTGTTCCCGCCGCCGCTTGGCTACATGCGTGCTCTGTGACACAGGATGCCCCAGCGCCACGGTCAGCCGGTGTGGCAACCAGGTGTAACTGCAGTGCGTGCGTACATACGTAGGCGCTCTGTGACGCACGATGCCACAGCGCCACTTTGACTCAGAGACCACCAGGTGTAACTGCAGCGAAAAACGCAAAACTGAAATACATTTTAGGCTACAATTCATGAACGATAGGAGATACCCCAAAACAAATATGCCCATGTGACTCCTAGATGCAATACCTTTCCGATGAGGTATAATCATGTCTCTACATCAATCCGTTATTGACATGCTTCTTGAAACACACACAGACTTGTTTTATTAGTATAGATCATCAGTTCACCAGTCAACCAAATGAGATTCCACTAAGGCAGCAATAGGTAAATGTTTTCTGCGCAGAAAAAAACCTGTGCGAATAATAACATGATGTTGGTTGCTGTGTTTTTGGTATCATGGTACATAAAAGGAAATATTGAAATTTTATTCGATGACTTAAAAGTGTGAGAAGCTTATTTCCAAACTCAAAAAGTAAAAATGAAACTTGAAAAAAAACTCTTGAGTATTATTACTTTTCATAATAGTACTCAGTACTGTACTAAGATTTTTTTATGTAGAGTTTGTTCCAATGTGTAATGAGAGAACCTGGTATTAATGTTTCACATATCCAGTTCAGAGTAACCTTTCATTTGATCTCTGGGTGAAGATTGTTTTACAGATGGTAAATCTTATCTGATTTGCGTCATGCCATGGACTCAAGCCAAGTTACAGATAGTGATTGAGAGGCATCAAGTTACGTAGGGTAATAGAATAGGCAACAATTATAAAATAGTATTTTTAAAAAAGTTGATCTTTCTTTAATTTATTTGATGAAGCACAATGTACATAAAATTTAATTGTCAGTCAATTGCCAGAAAATAAATTTTCAGTGTTGTATTTTGTGTTGTTCCATCTTTGCTGTATTTTATTCAGGAATACAAGTTTTATTTGGATTTGATGGTTAAAAAAAACCCCAATATGCCCAACCCTAACTATTATTCAGTGACCTCTGCTGGATGGTGTGTGTTTGTGTTTGTTTTGGATCAAATTTAGCTGCTCCCACAGTTCAATAGCTGGATAGTATTCTGTACTCACTATTGTTTGACTGGAGGGCTGGTGCTATGAAAAATTGTATCCTAGCATGTTTTTTCAGGAGAGGAGAGAAAAGGGGAGGTGTGTGAAATCGGAAACCTATTAAAAATTAGAAGAACAGCTTTGCTAGTTGCACACAACTGCTTTGATGCAATATTTTCTGCAGTACTTAGTATGCGAATGCCCATTGCTATGCATTGCACAGGTCTTTAAGCATGATTTCATCTAATATTCTCTGAAGATAAACATGAGAAATGAGAGTCAATACAGCATTATTCTGTGGGAGGGAATTAATGCTTGCATAGCTTATTTGCGGCCTCCAGTGGAGAAACAAATGAATTGTAATAGTAACACTGGATCTGGGTTCCAAGCATAACCTGTTTGATAAGCTCAAGTAGTTCTTAAGTGCTGTCTGCTTGTAGTTATATTTCTTCCTGTTTTTTTCCTAGTTGAATGACAAATGCATTCCGTCCTGTATTTTTTAAGTCATTCCCTCTCATTGGGATCCCTTCCATGCTTTATTCTATTTTCCGTTTGACAAATCACTTCTGAGCTCCTGATTCTGTTCCTGGAAAGTGTTTGGCTATGGCCTGTGGTTGTTTATCTTCATTTTCTTTCGTACTGCATGGAGAAGCACTTTGTGTCCTGTTCAGTGAATGCTCTTGATGTCTTACCTGAGTTTGAGAACTTGCTGTCTAGGAATCACTGGCATGAGCCACCTACACCCTTCCATTTTGCAGTGAATTTGAGTCTGCATCTCAAGAAGATATCAATGTTTAGTGGATCATTTGGAATACTCCATTTTTGTTTTTGTTGCATACAGACTTTTGGAGACCGATAGCAAGTCTTTGAAATCAGTAAATGGATCTCGTCGAAACAGTGGATCTTCCCTTGTATCTAGTTCTTCTGCTTCAAGTAACCTCAGTCACTTGGAAGAAGATTCCTGGATTCTTTGGGGAAGAATGGTGAACGAGTGGGAAGACGTCCGAAAAAAGAAAGAAAAACAGCTAAGGGTAAGACGCGTGAAATTCCCCATGCGTTGATTTATACCGCTTGGGATGCTCAGTCGTAGAGAAAAACATTATCCTCCAAGAAGGGAGGGGCTATTAAAAACTTTTCGGGTGTACAATTGTGGAGGAGAACACTATCCTACAGGAAGGAAGGGTGGTTGTGTAACATAAATTAATTAGATTTTATTCTTAGGGATTACTATGCGGTGAAGTTATATATCAACTTTCACCAACAGTAGTATAAATATTTTGCATTGGCCAGGAATCAAACCCGCGCCTCCTGTGTGGAGGCGAGAATTCTACTGCTGAACCACTAAACATGTGTCTTCTCCTTTGAACACTCTGCCATTTGGTTGTCCTAGACAAAGGCTATGTGAGATGTATTGTTTTCAGTTCTGCATTAGGAACAAATGGTGTTTTACGATTTGAAAACCCAAGATCCAGAAGCTTTCAGTAAAAGCAAAACCCATTTTTTTATAATCCTGTAGTCCTGTAGCTCAGTGGTTAGAGCACTCGCCTCTCAAACGAGAGACCTGGATTCGATTCCAAGCAGGGCAAAACCTTGGGCAAGTTTCCTTACTCCACACGCCTAATAATAATCCCTCAAGAAAAGAAAAGCAATAATAAATTGGTCACTTCAATCCACGGCTGTTTGTGGAACGCTGCTGTGCGCAATTGGTTGCCGCGGTTTGCCCACAAATATACAGTCAATTCACTTTACAGTGTATTCTGTGAAGCGCTTTGAGAAGTCTAGAAGACGTGAAAAGCACTATATCAAATGCAAGGTTTATTATTATTATAAACAATTTCTGTACCTTTCAGGAACTTGTACGAAAAGGGATTCCTCATCATTTCCGAGCTATTGTGTGGCAGCTCCTCTGCAATGCCCAAAATATGCCCATCAAAGATCAATATTCAGACCTCCTGAAGATGACCTCTCCTTGCGAAAAACTTATAAGAAGGGATATTGCCAGAACGTATCCAGAACATGATTTTTTCAGAGAAAAGGATAGCCTGGGACAAGAGGTTTTATTTAATGTTATGAAGGTGACAATATCATCAAATATTTCACTGTTTAAAAAGTGCAACTTCTTTATTCCAAGAAATCAGAATGCTACATTTACAATATGATGATAATTTAATTAGAAAACTACATTTTTAATGGTATTCAGTTTGAACTACAGTTGTTATAGTTGTTATAAGTTCCTTCCGCTCAGCTTTATCTTCCACACACAGAAAGCACTCCTCTCAATCATCTTTATAATGTTTGATATGCACATTTAGCGTTACTTGGGCAGTTTTGAGTTGTGGGACTAAATCTACTAGAATTAGTTAAATCTTTCCAAAACTTATTTTATATCAACTGCTTAGATCAGCAGAGACTGAGGAGACTTTTATTCTATCAACTTGGGCTTGATGTAAACCCAAATCCCAAGGATGTAGAACTGTATTCTAAACTACTTAATCCTCTATTAGCTTATTTTATGAGAAGGGTTAAATAAATATTCCAAATTGTCTTTAAAAATTGCAGTGATGTGAACAATTTATATGTCTTGTGTCTTGTATGTGGAAATGTTGAATCTAAAAATATAATATAATGAATAAGGTTTTAGCAGTATATTTTATTTCCTTTTGTAGGCTTATTCACTTGTGGACCGTGAAGTTGGTTATTGTCAAGGAAGTGCTTTTATAGTGGGACTTCTTCTTATGCAGGTAAATATTTTTTCCCTGACAGACTATCCTCTTGCCATTTGCAAATCAAATGCAAGGTTTTTATTATGATTATTTGGATTGGTTGATGTTTCTAGCATTTTCTAATACCAACACCAGTTTACTTTCTAAGTAACGGCCTGTCTAGAACCATACAAAATAAGTGCATTTAGTAAAACCTGAAAGTCATTTCTTTCTATATTTGTATAAAATCTAATCGTGCATCCCCTGCAATTAATATTTTTATTGCATCTTTTTCTCAAATTACTTATGAGCTGTCATTTTGGGAACAGTACTCAAAAACGATAATGGAACATAATTCATTTTATTCCAAATTAGTTTAGAAATTCATCATTTTATGGTTGTGGTACAGTACAAGATGCTTAGAAAAGATGATGCAAATTATAAAGATTTATTAAAGTTCTGCAATTTGTACATTTAGTTCCATAAAACCCCATTTTCTGGGAATGTGCAGCTATCTTACTGGCAGTTAGACTGCAGTACTTAATCTGAAATTTACCTTCAATTCCTGTGCAATTTTTTAAAAACGTTTTTCTGAACTGTTTAGTGTTCAACATAAAACAAGCACTCAGAGAGCCTACCCTGCATGAAGGGAGTTATATAAATGCAATTTGTTGTTGTAAAATATTAACAAGAAGAACTAAAGCTGATGAAGGAAATTTTGTATTAAAAGTGAAGTTGATATTTGAGGCATGAACTAAAAGAAGTGTTACTGGTTGTCACGTGAATTTCTGTGATTTTTGTTTTCTGCTGTGAAGATGCCAGAAGAAGAAGCATTTTGTGTCTTTGTGAAGCTAATGCAAGATTACAGGCTTCGAGAGCTTTTCAAGCCCAGTATGGCTGAGTTGGGTCTATGTATGTACCAGTTTGAGTGGATGATACAGGTAAGAGGAAACAAAAATACATCTGAACCACGATTGGATAAATTTAACACATCAGTTTAAAATGATTGTTACAGATGAGTTAAATTGACCTGATCAGTAATATTGAAAAATCCAAGTACAAATTTTCAATCTCCATAATTAAACGTTATAAAAACTTCCAGAAACATATGCAGAACTCTCAGTAAAGTCTCAATTTTAGTTTGGAGACTCTTTAGCACTGTGATGGGTTTTCAACTGACCTTAAATAAATGTTTTTTTTTTGTCAAACGATTTCTGTGGTCAGGAACCAAACCACAAATTACCCAGTTAACAGAAAGGGACCACAAAGGTTTGAAATATAGTCATTACAATATCATATGGTTTTAATGTGCATTTGTATAGTGCAATGCAGCAATGCCACCCCTGCAACTATAAATCAATTTGTGTTGTGTTCCATACACAGGAACAGCTACCAGAACTTCAGGTGCACTTTCAATCCCAGAGTTTCCATACCTCCATGTACGCCTCATCCTGGTTCCTAACTATTTTTCTGACTACATTTCCACTGCCAGTTGCTACAAGATTATTTGACATATTCATGTCAGAGGTAAGTTCATTTTGTAATCAACAAATTAGTAACTGGATAATGAAGTATAGCACATGCTAAGGGAGCCTATTTCCAACCATGCACCTTGTTAGATAAGGGCATGTGTTTTCTTGTGAGCGAGAAGCAAGAAAATAAGATGTTTTTTCATAGTGTTTCTTCAAAATTGTATTTCTGTGTTTTACTAGGGTCTAGAAATCGTTTTTCGTGTTGGAATAGCTATTCTTCAAGCCAATCAGGCAGAATTGATGCAGCTTGATATGGAAGGAATGTTACACGTAAGAATGAAGTGAACTTATCGTGTTCACGGTAAAACTTTGATGTTATTTGCAAGAAAATGCTGCAGTTTGTTTATTACTGCATTGACTAATTCATTTGTGCAACTATTCCCTTCAGCACTTTCAAAAGGTCATTCCACATCGATTTGATAGCGGTCCTGACAAGCTGATCCAAGCAGCTTATCAAATTAAATACAACGCAAAGAAGATGAAAAAGTATGTTTTATTAAAGCTGTATTTTGATTAGATACGGTATGCAGAATGTTGAAGAGGCTTCCCAATAATATTGCTTCTATAACATACTTTGAAAACTATTGAATTTGCTTGATTCTAAAACAGGTATATTTCAAAACAGTTTCCACAACAGATTCACAGATTGTAATCGGCCTTCTCCTGTTGTTTATTCTATGCTGTTTAGCCTTTCATTACAACTTTTAGAATTTTTTTCTTTCATACTTCCTTGGATACAAGGATCCAAACAGAAGTATGGAGACAGTTATTGTTAAAATACTTTGCTCCAATATTAGCCTGCCACAAAGTGAATAACAAGCAGCGTGATTAGAAACTTCCTTCTCTTTTCAACTAGTGCCATAGAATCTTTCATGACCATTTTAATAGGGACCTCAGTTTAATGTCTTATCTGAAGCGTGGCACCTCCAAGAATATAGCAAACCCCCAGCATTGCATTGGATTTGCAAATCCTGCACTTTGAAATATCCTCCCAATGTGAAAGGTGGTGCATCAAATTGAGGATTATTTATTTATCTAATTAAAGTGGTGCGTGCATTCCCTCTTCAAAATGTGATTTTGCATGTCATACCAAATCAATGTAGTTCCTTATGTTTTTATGAATTTTGTGTTAGGTTAGAAAAGGAATACACTACATTAAAAAATAAAGAAATGGAAGAACAAGTGGAAATTAAGGTAAGTTTATTATTTCAGTTATATTGTCATAAAATGTTGAAAGTAATATTGTAAACTAGATTCACGTACATTAAGCATGCATCAAGTTGCAAATTTAGTTATCTGAGCACATTTAGTAATCAATTTGTTAGGTGCATAATTTCACTACATGTTTTCCTTTTGAGGTACCCCAAAGGTTTGTAAGTGAAATTTGAACTGGTGATTTATTTTTCAGTTCAGTGCATTAAAATTATTTCTGGTACTCCAAGCTTTCTATGCCTGAATTAAAATATCAGTACATTGCTGACAATGTAATTTTTACCCACGTGTTGGTTTGAGGACATGGTAAATTTCTGCCCCTGTCTCCTCCAACTGGATAATAAAATAAAATCAAGGGTAAATTCATATATAAATTAGATATTACTTCTTGCTCAAATACACGCCAGCATGATTAGGATCTAACGAACTACATTGATTTCTGTAAAATTTATTTCATAATGTGAAAGATGGATTTTTAAAAAAAATGTAATTTTATCATATAAAAGAGCAACAATAGGGCTTTTTTTGTCATCTGCATTGCCACTGTACTTAAACCTAGAGTTTTGTATCAACAAAATGATTCATTCAAGATTATTTAAAAAATTGAAGCAAAATGAAAAGAATATGGTAGACTACTGATTGTTTTTATTGCGTTTAGAGGTTACGTACAGAAAATCGACTGTTGAAACAGCGAATTGAAACATTAGAGAAGGTAAGGACATCCAAATTCAGTAGTAAGGGTCTAAAGCAGATCCTTGCTTTAAGAATTAAACGTTATTGTTGCTTTAAAGCAATGTTTATGTTCATGAATATTTACTGGCATTTTTCAGGAAAGTGTTTTATGTGGTTAACTGAGACAAAGATTGCTTGCAGCCAACAATATAATTGGCTTGTTTACTAACTGTGCTTGGCTGAAATACATATTAATATTTGGCAGGGGGACACACCGGATTTAATAAATGCATGATGGGCAAAAGGTATTTAAGGAAGGGAAAAAGTAGGTCTAATATCAATTGTGTGTTTTCATTCTGTAGAATGAGAAAAATGAATCTTTGATGTTTTTAGGATGTTTTATTCATATTATTACAGGTTTCAGGTTTAAATCTGAAGATTTTATAACATTTATTGGATTTGTTTTCTAGCTTTGTTGTCCAGTTTTACTTTCTTTTTTGCCAATTTTACTTTTTTAAATAAAGTAACTTTGTCTGTAGTATATTTAATAGCACCAGCTATTAAGAATGGGGCATCCAGAGTACAAGTTTTAAATGACAGCACAAGCACAAATACCATTGACTTGTTCTGTTTTGAAATTTCTGATTCTAAATTGCAAAGACTTTCTCTATCAATATGTGCAGACCAGTATTTATGGTCGAAACAACGAGTGCATGTTGTTTGCACTTTAATTTTATTCATTCCAGAAATGGAAGACTGCTTCTATTCCAATTGACCTGCTTTTCTGTTCATGTATTCATTTCTTGGGGGGGAGGGGAAACGGACATCATCCTAACAAATACTACACAAACTATTTCCGATTCAAAAATTTTTTGGTTTTACTCACCCATTATTAGATGCTTGTGTATTTATATTATTTATTATTTAAGTATGGTTTGATGTTTATTATTGATGGATACAATTCCAGCTTATTATTCCAGAAAACAGTTGTTTGATTTATTGTAATCTTTAATGGCAATTTATTACTGTTTACTTCACTTCTCTGGATGGAATAATTCTACTTCTAGATGTTTACAGTAGATGCAACCCATATTATACAGAGATCGTTTTGCCCAGTATTGTGGACTAAACTATCTTACAATTTTATGCTACAAAGTTTGTGTTTAACTTTCTCTAACTTTAATACCATCAAAAATATTGCACTTAAATGTATTAATTTGTACTTTGCTTCAGTGATCTGCGTCATGAACTGCGTTTTTAAGCTGCAGTACTTGATTTGTAACATTAAGCGGATTTATGTAATAAATTGGATTATAAGTGGCAGTGTAGAGAGTGAATGAATCCCCAAAATGCAGCATTGCTGATTATTGTACATCTTAAGGTGGAATTCAAGTAGTGACATTTTTTCTAGACAAAATAACATACGTTTCTCTAAATAGCTGCATGATGGGTATGATCTGCTGAATGCTTTTTTGCTTTGGTTAGTTTTATAAGCTGCATTGGAAAATGGAGAACTAAAATTGTGAGTACTAATGCGCTGTAGTTTAAAGTTAATTGGAGCAATGCAACATTTATACAGAAAACTGTTAAAAAAAAACTGTTCTTCGTAAAGAAGTGGTTGAAAGTTTTCATTGTACCTGTTTTTTATAAGAAGTTTTTCTTAGCATAAGATTGGATTAATAGTTTCTAACTACAGCATGGCATCTCATTGGTATGAAGCTTGCTGTACAAAGTACAACTGATCCTTATGCATAATATTTTGGAGTGGGTAACTCTTTCTGCTTTGCAATTTTTAGTTCTTTACTGCTGGGCAAACACCTCTGTGCTTTGCTAAAAACTAGCTACAGGACATGTCACACAGGTCCTTGTTCAGTTTCTACCTCCTTGCAATAAAATAAACTTAATTGGCAATAAAAGGAAATGATTTGGGCCTTTTCAAGGAGGAGTGATTTGAACATGCCACAACACCGAATGGCTTCCTTCTGTGCTGTATAATTCTGTGATTCTATGAATACCTTCCAGAAGTTTCATACAGTTTCTCTTCTACTGGATTTTACAGCTTATTTTGACACTACCGCTTTTATGTTCACTGTTTCCTTGGTCTTTTTCTTATACCTGTCTGGATTTTTCCTTTGTAGGAAAGTGCTTCTTTGGCAGATAGATTGATCCAGGTACAGTTCCTCATCCTGTCAGTGTCTTGTAAAATGGATGGAATATCACTACCCAGATTTAAAATCGCCCATTGCCCTTTATATTTTGTTCGCATTTTTTCCTGGTTTAAACCTAAATTTAAGTGAACTGATAACTTGTGTGTTTCTGGAAAATGGTTATCTACATACTATTTTTTAAAGTAGTAATTCATACAAACATTCCATATTTCAGTAGATGTTCAGGTAATTTATATTGAAAGCAATTGCAGTGTAATTTTAATGGAAGCAATTCTCAATTGAATTCATACGATTTAGTTTTGATACCTTAATGATAAAAACATCAATATTCAATAGGATAGTTTTCTATTGATAACTATTTCAGATGCACAAGTTTTACTTTTACTGTTAAATGACATTCTCAAATGTTAGAAGTATAATTGGAGGAGTTAGTAATTTTAGTGCATGTAAAACTCCTCACTGACCTCAAGTTGTCTAACTCATTCAAGGCCTTAATTCTAACTACATATATTTAATGGAAATGCATGTAGAATAATTGGTAAGTGTTCTTTTTGGCTAAACAGTAGAGATGGGCAACAGTCTGCAAATAATCAACTCTAACGTTGGTATGCATTATTAATGTACCAATGTAAAATAGACAAATCTCTTCAGAACTCCCCCACACCAATCCTTATTCCCTGCACAATTGTGTCCTAAGGGACAAGTGACAAGGGCACAAGAGGCAGAGGAAAACTACCTCATTAAACGGGAGCTGGCCACCATTAAACAGCAGAGTGATGAGGCTAGTGCTAAGCTGGCGAAAGCTCAGAATGCCTTCAGGGAGCTCCAAGAGCAACGGGTAAGGAGGCTGGCAGTACCATACATTTCCTATTCTTTATTCGCTTGGTTGCATCTTATTGTTCATGTCATTTTATCTGTTTTCAACTCTGACATTTTGTTAATGTTCACTCTGCAATGCGACATTATCCTTTACTTTATACATTGTGCTTTTTTCTTTTTCCTGAGGTGCTGTTTCACAGTATTGAAGTAGCTGCAGATTTTCTGACCTTATGCAGTTCAGTGCAAAATCCATAGTTTCCAAGTCACCATTGGGTTTATTGGCAATAATACTGATGTAAATTTATCAAAGTAATGCATTGCAATCGCAGGTTGGTCCATGATTTGATAACATTTAGTCTTAGTCAATGATATCCTAAACAGATTGCCAAGGCTGCTTTGCTGTGGTTCAAATTGGAGATTCAAAATAGTTTGTTTTAATGACACTTTTGTCTTGCCTTATGCTGAATTTGGCTGCTTTCTATACACTGAAAATAACTAAACTATGTAAAGTTATGATTTTAAATAAATTTCCTTAATTAACCTTGTGCTCCGTTCTACCTCTGTCACCTGCTAATGCCATATCAACCTGAACACTCCCTCCACTCAGCAGGCTCAGTCTGCTCCAGGTCTCCCGCCTGGCCCGCCATCGGCAGTCGGGCCCTCAGCCTCTCTACCTCCATCCTTTAGAATTTCATCCCACAGTCCCTTCACCTTGCTCCCTCCCTTGCCTCCTTTAAGATCCTTCTCTACGAACGCGCCTTTGGCCACGCTCCTATCCCTATCCTCCTTTTCCCTCACCCTTCCTGATCCCAACCCCCTGCTCGCTTCCAAATCCCTGACTATACAGCGCCTTGGGACGTCCTCCCGACATTTTGTTGTTGTAGTGGGCTATAGTGGCATTCTGCATGAGAGTTAGCTAGTGGTAACTTGTCTCTAGGTAAGAGTTAAACTGATGATTTAAAGATAATGGAGAAGACTTTCTGCGGACTATCAAGAGTTAATATTGCTAATTTAATAAAAATAAATATATTTGTGACTCGATGTAGCTTGGCTGTAGCGTTAATTGGATCAAGACGTTGGCTATCGCATCACTAAAAATCCTGTTAACTAACAGTTGATCTTAGAATATTAAATATTATAAATGTTTTGTTACCCATGTGCTTGCATAAAGATTCTGTCAATGGCTCATATGATTGCCATATGAGTTTGAAAAATTGTGTAGATAAAAGTTGATTTGAAAAAGATTATTTTTGAAAACAATTAATGTTTCTTTGCCTAGAAAATGAGGTTTGGAATCTAACGCAATGAATGACTTTCTGAGGGTAGGAGAGATAAACAAGGCCTCTGTAGGATTGCGTCCACTGTAATGTGTTTGACCAAGACAGAGGGGAACTCTGTTTGGACTTGCTGATCCATTCCCTTAGGCAAACGGTACTGCAGTGCTCCAGGATATTAATAATTGATCAGATTACCTGGCTCATCAATCGGAACGCGGGTAGATCTTTCAGTGGTGTACGAGATACTTCACGTTTGACTCCTGAGAACCATTTACGATAACACCCTGAAAGGTCAATGGCTTAACCATGTTAATCAGAGAGAAGCTTACGAATCGTCACGTTAATCAGAGAGACGTTTATCAATTCCCTCCCCCCACCCCCAAAATGGATTTGGATGGTGCACTCCAGAACTAACTAGCAAGCAGAAAATCTGCTTTTCTGAGTTGTCAGCAGTTGGGACTGAAAGTTCCTAATGGCAAGGCTTGTCCTCGAGATCCAGGCAGTGTGTGAGACTCCCACAGACCAAATACATTATAGTGAATGGGAACATAGATTGAAAGTACATTTTATAGATTCAAGGAATATAATCTATAAAATGATTAGGTACTACTCATTGAATATCACATTTCCCATTAACATGAGCCATACTTGATACCATGTAGACTTTACTACCTCATTTTGCTGAATTGCAAACTTGCTTTGCTATGATGTGTCTTGGCTGTGGATTGGTCACTCTGAAAATGTGTTTAATTCGATAGTGTACTTCGCTTGATTGCAGTCGAGTCAGACAAATCACACTGTACTAGGTTTTCTATTCCATTAAACTTACCTTTTTAGTATCATCTTTGTATTGGTATGAATGTACAAAAGGGAGTGAAGGAATTACTGTGACTTGCTATATACTGTAGTTATATGGCCTCTCTATAAGCCAGATTTCTACTTTCACTTTGATTTTAACAAAAGCAAAACAGTTGATTGATGGTCACAATAATTCTAATTCGGCAAATTGATGAATTCTAAATTACTCCAATGAGTACTGTGGTGTGACATAAAAAGTTAGGACCCAGAGCAATATTTAATATAGTAGAAGTGTGCCTTGATGTAAATGTACATTAAATTCCTTAAAATACTGATCTTTATAAAATGATCAAGATGCTTGATGATTTAGTGCCTAAATGGAGGGTGCTGAGCCATATAGACCTAAATACCCAGGTTCAAGAAATGATTTGTGATGAATTATCTGATATCAGCAAAGGTAATGGTGGGCACTATGGTTAATTGCTGATCCTAAATTAGTCAGGGTTCCTAGTTCGGGATCCTTCTGAATGCCATCCATTGTCCCTTGCTAAAACGTATGGATGTTAGTTGAGAACTGAATTAGACTTGGTTATGCTCTTTGTGTTTGTTTACTGAAACTCAAAATCAAGGCATCCCATCCACAGAATAATGGGCAGTTGGGGGCACTTGTGGCACCCGTGGAGATGTACTTCCACAAGAGATACTACTTTTAGGAGAAAGGACAGAGTTCAGAAAAGTAAGTTGGCAAAAATAAGACAGCTTTGAGTGCCAAAGCAGTTTTAAAACACATTTCAAGACATTAATAGTCTAAAAATAGAGATGTTCTTATTGGTAAACCAAAATACTTTTTGCCTGTCGTTACTGGCTGACAAGAAAAGAGGCTAACCTATTAAATTTTGGATTTCGAGAGTCAACTGTTTCCATTAGGAGCCATTGACCATTGTCTGAAATAATTAATAGATTTTGTACATGAAAGTCCACCTGTATATGTTCTACCTTGTCTTCTGTTTAAGTTTTATGTTCATGCGCTGTATGTGGTGAGCACTCCTTTATGCGTGCTTGAACTGACTGCACATATCAGTTGATGTATACAAATACATGGGCTGCAAGCTTTGTATGTGTGAAGTATGATAAATTGGGTATGTAGGTGGGCTCAATGGTTATAAGTGTATATAACATAAATCTGTTGTACAATGTGGAAATAACAATATATTTCAGCACTGTAGATGCAGGTATTATACAACTCGTAATACTTAAATAAATTTGCGATATCTGGATATATAAAATGTGATTTAATTGTGGATTCTCTATTTTGTGTAATTACATTGAGCTAATTAATTTGAAATTGGAAATGATTATATAAATACATTTTCAATTTTCTCTAATATACAGCATATGTTTACTAAGGTGTAGCTTGTAATTTTTTTTATTGAGTAACACTTTTTATACCAGTTGGCAAATACTTAACGTTGAATTTTGAAGTTTCGATTGAAACCTTTGCAGGTTACATAAAGAATCCTTCTAAATTAATTTTATTATGTAAATCTAAACATAAAACTGGTTATTTGTAATTAAACACGTCCAATTCTAACATTTTTCTAATTTTTTTTAATAGCCTAAATGCAATCCACGCTATAGTGAGGATTTTGTACTGCAGTTGGAGAAAGAGCTTGTGCATGCAAGGCTACGAGAAGCAGAGTCTCAGTGTGCACTTAAAGAGATGCAAGACAAACTCTTGGACATAGAAAAGGTACTGGAATTATTTTCACTTATTTTGATTAAGTGATGCATAAAATGCATTAATAATTACTAGGGGTCTGGCGATCCCACTGTCCCTCTATGTAAAGTAAATGTATTCTCATTAAAAGTGATCACCGCACCAAACACACATACATCTGCATGAGTGGCAATTTAAAGATTAAAAGTACTTCACACCCTGAACGTGGATTATATCTGGAGCAATGTAAACTTTTTTTTCAATTCAGTTTCTTCCCTGGTAATTTCTAGGGAAGTGAACAAGATTGGGTATTGATGATTGTTTTATGGTTATATTCAATAACAGAAAAATAGCTTCTTTCCTGATGAAAATAACGTGGCCAGGTTGCAAGAAGAACTTATAGGAGTGAAACTGAGGGAAGCGGAAGCACTAACGAGCCTGAAAGAACTCAGGCAGCAAGTTAAGGACTTAGAAGAGCATTGGCAGGTAAGGTAGAGCCACGTGATGATTTTACAAATGTATATTACATTTTTGTGAAACGTTTTCTGGAATTCATCATAAAACTGTTATCTTTGGAGGTCATAATAATCTTTCCATTTGATATAGCACAATTCACACAGGAGGATACCTCAAAGCGCTTCATTGGATTTACTGTAAAATGTATTTTGTGTGTGGTTACAGCAGTCAGTTTGCACACAGCAATATCCCACAAACAGCCATAAAGTGAATGAACAATTTTATTTGGGGTGTTGTTGGCCAGAACAGATCTTTAAAGTCCACCTGAACAGGGAGACCAGAACTCAATTTAATGTCTCATCAGTTTAACATCTGAGGTTTTATCATAACTCATACTGTGCACTTCTAACGTTTTCAGTTTTTAAATGTCGGTTTGTTAATATCAGTTGTTTGGAAAAATTCCTTTTAAACAACATTGTTTGCACTCACTGAATTCTGTTACACAAACCATCCTGTTCTTGTAGGTAGAACAGGTTGAGGGAAACTTGGGTTCCTTTTTGTTTATCGCAAATGCTGAAATTTGTCTGGGATGAAGTTTGAGCAAACTTAATTAATTAACATTACATTGCAGAGAGGGCTATAGCAGTACGTTTTCTACCATGTTGACTGATGTGAGTCTGATAAAGGCCTTGAGCCACATTCTGTATTTGGAGGTAGAGATTAGCCAAGTCCACAACAGCAATCTGTGATCCTGGCTATCAGATTTGAATGGACCAAATCTGACGATTTCAGTATTTATTTTGTTTTGAGATACAATTTGTTCTAAACACAATACATATTCTAAGGTTTCCACTAAAAATTGTTTGGGATCAATCATCTGTGATTACAGATGGTTATTGTTTCCATCGGTTACTACAGTATATGCAGTAATTAAAAATAGAAGAGTTGGGGAAAACCTGTTCTGGGTTTGTCAGTAGATGGCAGTGTGGCACTGTTTGAATTACAATTTGAACTAATTGCTAAGCCTTTGCTGTTAATTAGATTGACTATCAATGAAGCAGTATTTAATAATGGTTTTGGTGCCTAAGATTTGGCTTGTTCGATAGGGTAGATGCTAGGAATCGGTGGTTAACTTAAAAAAAATTGATTCACTGAGTGAGATTTGATACATGCAAGCTTTTGAGTGACAAATGAAGTATGCGTTGACCTGATTTGTCTTATGTATAGTTACATATGCACCAGGTACCTTCTAGAACCTCATCTAAGTATTATGCATTCTTCAGACTATGTGCAGTAAAGGATTGTACTGTAAACAATGGAATTTTTTTGTATCGGGAGGAAGGGAAAAATTGTAACAGAAGATGTGTTTGTTTTGGATTTCTGTTGTGTGAACCGTTAGTTTATTGGACTGATGGGGGTGTCAGTGCTTAGTTCAAGTTTAAAAAATTCAATTTGAACTTCCAAATTTTCCAGCTAGAGTCCATATGTAGTAGAAACTCTGCTTTTTTTTAGCGTAATTCCTCACAAATGAATATTCAACCTCAGAAGTTTTCCTACTGTAATATTTAATTTCTAAAGATTTATTTTGGCAGTAATTAAGTGCAGATTATAATTTGATAAATTTGTGCCAAAATTCTTGGTGAGTATACACTAAATGTGAATGGCACAGAAAGTCCTGACTACAACAAATGCCACAATTCTTGCTGCCAAGAAATGAAAATTATGATATGTAGATATTCACTGTTTAAACTGGCCAAATCGCCAGCCATGTGAATGATTTGTTCAGGATCAATGTTCCTTCCACCGTAACATCAAATTTAAGTGACATCCTTTGATCAGTGTTAGTGCTTTTTTTCCAAACATGCTTGCTGGATCCATTATTGTGCTAAACTGTAAATCCACAAATACATCACTCTCTTTTGACACTATCACCTCAATGACTTGACCATTTTAACCAAACTAAGTTACTTTCTTCCTCTAATCTTTATGATGTCCAATTTGTTACAAACATTCATTCTAGCCAAATGCAAGAATACATGAACACTGAATTATCTACTTTTGTGTTTAATTGGATTTTAAATGATTTAATCATAGAATTATACAGTACAGAAGGAGGCCATTTGGCCCATCGTGACTGATTGATTTGGAAGCCATCTTTGAAAAGAGCTTCCAAATCAATCCCACTCCCCCGCTCTCTCCCTATAGCCCTGCAAACTTATCCTTCCCAAATAATTATCTACTTCTTTCTTAAAAGTTGATATCGAATTGGCTTCCACCACCCTTTCAAACAATAATTAACTTGTTGATTAGAAAGTATAAGTTACGCATTGTACTTGTATGTTCCCATGTCCCATCTAAAGTCCTATAGTTTAGTGGTTAGAGCATTCGCCTTGTAAGCGAGAGGACCTGGGTTGGATTCCCAGAAAGTTTGGGCAAGTTTCCTTACTCCACACGCCTCTGTTTACCTAGCAGTAAGTAGGGACCTGGTTGTTAGTTGTTAGTTGATTGGCGGATTGCTTTCCGGGGATAATAATCCCTCAACAAAAAATTGGTCACTCCACGGCTGTTTGGGATGCTGCTGTGCGCAATTGGTTGCTGCGTTTCACCCACAAAATATACATTCAATTCACTTTACAATATATTCTGTGAAGCGCTTTAAGGTGTCTAGAAGACATGGTAAGGTGTTATATCAAATGCAAGGTTTATTGTTAAGTCTATATAATTGATAGAATTTTTCCAATTATCTGCAGCGCCATCTAGCGAGAACTACCAGTCGGTGGAAAGACTCACCACGGAAGAATCCTGTTAATGAGCTGCAAGAGGAACTGATGTCAGTGCGTTTTAGAGAAGCTGAAACACAGGCTAAAGTGAAAGAAATTAAGCAAAGGATGATGGAGCTTGAAACACAGGTATCCATTGCAGCTTGCAGCATTATGTTTGGTTGTGGGAGGTGGAATGCCTCAAAGTTTTAACTTCAAAGAAGTTTCTTTTATAAGTTATTTTATGTCCAATCGTAAGCTATTTTTCTCCAATTTTTAAGGGCGGGCTAAAGGTCAGATATATGACCTACTCCTGTACTTTTTTTTTGTCCACCCAGTTTTCTCCATTTCCAAGTATACTATGTGGTCCTTGACAATGAGTGTTGGTTGACATGCAATTCAACTCTAGGTGGAATCGGACATTTGAGCATTCCCGTTTCCTGGATAGCAATCCAGAATGGGAATGCTCCCTGATTTGTTTCCTCACTTAAACCAGGCATGCTGAAACCCAATTGCAGCACCCTATTTGTTCTTCTGATTTATGTAAATAATGCCTTGGAGAAAGTTGAAAAATGCTGATGGATATGGGAGAACCTAGGGGGAGCGGGGAGGAGGAACTGAATTTGTTTATGAAGGCTAGAATGCTTTGAAGGAATGTTGAGATGGAAATGCAGAGAGAGTGTTAGGTTACTTACCCCAAAAAAAGGATCATTTTTAAAAACATTTGTTAATGTTCATTAAAGCATCCAGAATTAAATCACTATCTGCTGAATTTTAGAATGGATGCTTTTCTTTTACCTTTTTAATTTATCAAAATATCAGAACCAAATCAACAGTAACCACCTCCGTCGAGCGGAAGAAGAATCCCGTGCTCTGCACGAGAAAGTGCAGTATCTCACGGCCCAAAACAAGGGATTGGTCACTCAGTTAAATGAAGCGAAACGAAAATTTGCTGAGCTGGAATACAAGGTACAGTATACGAACATCAAATTGTGGATATATCTTCTGTGCAGGCTAACTTAGGGTAGGAACTGAAATGAAATTTTGAGGTGGTTCTTGAGAAATAATCATAATGAATCCCTTATGAAATTTATTTGAGGAAGACTCATTCATAACATTCTCAAGAGCTTGATGGATGCAAGAAATGTTCTGAGTCAGTCACTATATGAAGTGAAAACCAGTGCAGCTGTTTGTGTACTTAAATTGATTTGTGTTTTTTTTTAAAAACTACAAAACATTTACCATATTTATATGAACTGAAGTATGTTGAGAATGAAAGAATGCTGAAATAAATGAAATTAAATGAAAGCTGAATTGTATATTTAGTGCTTATACTCATCTAAAATGTTTATAGATATATATATATCCAAATGAAATGGAGGCGGTGGGGGGAGCAGATGAAATTGGCCTGTCGGTCACTAGTTTGACCACCCCCGGTCTAAGTAAAGCAAAGCACCCTTTACTGACAGACTAGGATGGTCCTAGCTGAACAAGCAACAGAAAGTTTGACAATGTTTTTTAACCATTGATTTGGGGGTGAAAATTGCATATTTCAAGATTGAAAAACCATTTTGAGCACATTTATAATATCACCCGCTAAATTAATTGCATGTACAATAGATATTTCTTCCGTCTGTTACAACACATTACAGTACTTTGCGTCATCTTTTATTTTTTATGTAGCCCAAGTGAGGTATTTATGTCAAAGGTTTAAAAAATCCTTGTTATCAACCTCTACATTTCCTGTATTGAGTACAAAAACAAGCGTTCGTTTCTTTGTCTGCAAGGAAGTAGATGTAGATGAGTATTGTTGTAGACATTTTTTTGTGAGTGGTTGGTCATTCCTCTTTAATTACCCCCACCACCCACCCCCCGCAAAAAGAGATTGAATTAAGAATTCAGCAGGAGTCATTGCAATTTTATTCTCAAGAAGTACATTAGCTGCACAGTCGTGACATGAATGAAGAGTGGTTACTAATTTGAACAGCCATTTGCAAATTGTAAACGAACTGCTTTGAGGAGGCTACACTGCTCCATGTCGGTCACAGCTGTACACATCTTGGTCAACCCTCGTGAGGTTTTTCAGTTTGCAGCAACATCAGTGTATTCCGGTACATTCAGTTACAATTCTGGTACATTGAATGAATTTAAAACCAACATCTGCACCCACAACAAAATGTCCTGTGCAAGAGATGAACCTTCAGTTGCAGCTGGTAGCGACTTCTTAGGTGAACTGTTATGTCAATATATAATGTGCAAATATATTAAATAAGTGCCATTTCTGCTAGAATTCAAAAGATGTTATAAAACCAAGGTCTCAAAAGCTGCTGGGTAGTTTGGTTAACACTGTTTACAAATTATAGGCATTCATTTACTACATAACTAACCTCTGGAACTCCCTCCATCCATCCTCCCTTTCTCTTTATCTTTAAATCACGCCTTAAAACCTACCTCTTTCACTGCGCCTATGGTCGTGCCTATGCCCCATTTTCCCCTCTCCTTTGCTTGGTGCCTAACCCCATCATTGTTAACTACTCTCAGTCATTAGGCCTGAGTTAAAAGAGGGAGTGGGTGGGGAGATCAGTGGTGGGGGAGGGTAAGGGTATGGAGCATTTAAAAGTAAGAATGAAGATGTTACAGTTGATCCGTTGAGAAATGGGAGCCGAGCGAATGATAGTGATGTTGGCTTCTAAGCGCCTGGTGCAGGAAAGGGAATTCTGAATAATTGAGAGCTGGTACAGGGTTGAACTAGGAAGGATGTTGAGGAGAGCAGTAGAAAAGACACAGGCTTGGATGAGAGCTTTGTCTGTATTAGAGGTGAGGTAGGGATAGAACAAGCCAATATTGCAGAGTTGAAGGAAATCAGACTTAGTCAGGCCTGCATCAAAGTCTTACAGCAGCACTGAGGGTTAACCAAAATGCTGAGGTTTGGTCCAAGTGTTCTTGAGTTAAGAGACACAATCCTTAATTTTTAAAAATATACAGCAACCACAAGCTACATTTATTAGTTGTGAAATCACATAAAACACCGGTCTCATTAATTCAACATTTTTAAGGGCTTTATTTACTTTGCGATTTGTATATTGTTTTATTTCAGAATAAAGAAGATGTGATGGCTGTAAGACTTCGAGAAGCAGATAGTATTGCAGCTGTGGCTGAGCTCCAGCAACACGTTGCTGAACTAGAAATCCAGGTACTTAAAGTAACAACCTGCATCATTGCAAATTTTAGATTAACTGTGGAATAGCTAGAGACATCATTTAGATTAAATGATGTCTCTAGCTATTCCACAGTTACCACTATTTCACATTTAACTGCTGGTAATCTTTACAGCAAATTATCAAATCAACAGTTTGCAGTGAGATTCATTGATTCAAGAATAGATAATTAACAGTTCAGGGTGCTGTTCTGTGCAAAACATAAGGAACTTGATTTAAAGAGATAATTGCAATAACATTTCGTTAAAACTTGCAAATCCATTATAAATAATATAACGTCTAAAAATGGAAAATGTCTCATGAATTTTGAATAACGATGCTTTTCTGAATTTTTGCATCTCTTTCATCTAAAAGTGAACTGTATGGAAAAGGAAACTAATCTTTCGTGCTAACCTGCGATGTTAAGCCCAGTTTCGATAAACCGTTTTTTGTTGGTGATGGTGAATTTCAGTAGAATAGGAGGAATGATAAATGTATATCTGATGTAAGCATAAAATAACATGTGGGACACATTTAAGTCCCTTTTTTTAAGGAACCCCAGAGCATGTCTTTGGTAAAATATATTGTTAATTTAATAATTTATGTTTCTTAAGTTATAGGGACATTGACTAAGCTATGGCCTGTCCTGAAGTCTCACTCAGGCTTTAAAATCAAGGACTGTAACAAAAAAGAGCATTGTATACATAATCCCAAATTTAGCAAATGAAGCTGAAGATTGTGCTGATATTTGGGAGAGGTATAGGTGACATAATGGAAAAATAAGACTTGATGAAATACAGGTGATGAATGCTGTTTTTTTTAAATAAGAGTACACACATCCTTGATTGTACTCACAGAACTACAGGAGAGCATTAGTATAGCCAAATGTTCAAAGGTAAGAGGAAGTGCACAGGAAACGGTGTCAGCACACACCCATATTGTTTTTCCATGTAACCCTATTGGCAAGTGACCAACTTCAAAAATCTTGAAATTGCACCACAATAACCATTTTTAACCTAATCGTGCACAAATGTGTGAATTTGTTCCTAGGTGTAAGTAAAAGACGTTAGAAATCTAGTCTGAACATCAGTACGTGCTATGTTGCCAGTACACCCACAGAAGTTTTCAAATTAGTTCAACTACAGAAATGATAGATTTAAATCAGTGTTGACTGTGCTTATTGAGGTCATTTGTAGGTCACCTTCAAAAAGTAGTTTTGATTACTACATATTCGTTTTTATACTTTGTAACTGCAAAAATATACCACTGAACTTGGAACTATTTAAATTAAGAGAAAGAATTGGCTGGTGAGAAGAATTATTATGTACTCGTATTACAACTAAATCTTAAAAAGTCATTGCTTACATGGAAAATTGCATCACACATATTAAATGGTTGTAATCATTTTACTCACAAGTTTCAGTTCACGGTAAATAGATGAAGTAGTAGGTAAACCTTTTGAGAACATTTTTCTTTTAAATCTTGTGATGAACAAGTTAAGTAGAAATTGCACCAGGTGAGATATATTTATTTGCCATTGATCATTTATTGAATAGCTACATTATTTTAAATGAAATTCTTGACAATTTGCATGAAAATTATATTTTTTCATTACAGTTTAGGTACAGTTTGTTTTTGCAAAAGACCAACTTCCATTCCTCTTAATGAGGAAAAAGTGAAAAATTGAAAATCTGTGAGGTGAATTCATTAATTTGTACCTTTCATGCAGGATCAATGAATGTGACGTGGTAAAAGTCATTTTATTGATATGATTTGCCAGACCTTTTTGAGAAAATAATGTCTAGTCAAAAGTGTAAGGGCAAAAAAAACTCCTTTTACTATTTGCAAAAGGAAAATGAGTGACAAATGTGAGAGACTGATAATTATCTTTCAGGAGAAAAAAGGTTCATTAAGAGGACAAGCAGGGTGATGATTTCATGTGATCCCACACATAACTCATAGTGAGAAAACTAAATCTGAATCTTGACATTTCAGCCGCAGAATGAGTCTGAAGGAACTGTATAAATGAGTCAAACACAGGAATGCAGTTTTTTAAAAAGCTGATGCAATTTGCAATGTAATTAAGGCTTCTGATTTTTGATTTAACCAAAAACTCCTGATAAAACACCTCCAATACAAAGAGAATGAAATCGGTGTTTATCCAATAAACATTGTAAAATCCCATAATTAGTTACCTGTACTGATGCCAACTGTGCATGCATTACTCTCTCTCCCCTGCAAAATTAAGATTTTGAAGAGTATTGTAGACCATAATTGTAGAGTATTGTAGAACAGAAGCCAATGTTTAAGACAGACAGGTACTTTGTTTTTCCAGGTACGTGATGTATCAGCTCCTGATCAGTCCAAATCACAGATAGTAGAATTGGTACTTCACTGGATGAATTCAAACTTTTGCGATAGCTAATATCAAGAGTGGTTTTGAAAAGAGTTGAAATGCATATATTTACAATCCTCAAACTGAGGACAGTTCAGTGTAGTAATAAATATATATATACAGCTATATTTTTGAGATTGTAGTACAATGGATAGAAAGTACACCCTCCCTTGCCTTTCTTTCCCTTTTGGAATTGAAACTTGTGTCATGGAGATTGTCATACGTTTCTTTCTTAATTATTTGTTTGAAATGAGCTGAAGAGGACTGATGATCTAATTATTCCGAAGGACAGAGAGTTGGTGTTGCATAAAGAGAAAATAATCTAAATATATTTTAACACAGCTTGTTTATCCAAGGAACTGAATTACAGGAATATTTATTTCACTTTCAAACATTGTACAACGATCTTTCAAATTTAAGACTCACTGTGCATTGTCCGTCTTTTTATGTCAACGGCTATATTCGTTGAGCAGAAAAAGTGATAGAATCAGATCATGCTCTACACCCCGGTGTGGTTCATTCTGAGTAATTCTCAAGTTAAACATCTCATTTAGAATGACTCATACTTGTGCTTTGCACATCTCTATATTAGTTCCCTTTAGCAACACACTAAATGTGTTGCATTTTTTTGAAGTATATCAGATTGTTTCTGAATGGAGTTAGATTAATATGATCATAATTGAATCAGTTCTCTTGTACTGTACTGAGTTCTATGGTTGTAAAGTTGTTGCAAAAACAATTTTTTTATCAAACTAAACGTTTGATTCTGTATTCTTTGGGCCTTTAAGTTACTTAGGATTTATGTTCCTTGGTTAATTGTAAACTAAATTTATCCTCAGGGTGCGTGGAATTTTACAAAGTAGTCATTTTGCTGATTTCAAACTTGATGAAATACAAGATGGAATGCCTATATTACTTGTTTTTTTAAAAAAGTTATTTTTCCCTGAGAAACACATAAGAATGATGTGCTAGTTTGTATGGGTGTGTGATCCTACAAGAAAACTAACTAACTACCTCTCCGACCTACTATCTCCCTACCTACCTGCCCGTACCCTCCGTTCCTCTGGCTCCGGTCTGCTCCACATCCCCCATCCCAACCGCCCTACTATCGGTGGCCGGGCCTTCGGCCTCTCAGCCCCGAGGCTCTGGAACTCCACCCCCAGTGCCATCTCCTTGCTTCCTCCCTTTCCTCCTTCAAGGCCGGTCTCAAGACCTTTCTATTTGACCGTGCCTTCAGCTCCCCTCTCACCTCTCTACCCCCTCCTTGCTCCCTCCCTTCCCTCCCCTCACCCTGACCATTTCCCCCCTGTTCGGGTCCTGACCCAACTGTCCAGCGCCTTGGGACGTCCTCCCAACTTGAAAGGTGCTCTATAAATGGAATCTTGTTGTTGTGATGATTGTGAAACTATTAACAAATGGTATAATTCTTAGTTAAAGTGAAAAAGTCCACCTCGGAAAGATCTGTTCTAAGATGACTGACTTCAATGATTGATTTACAGCTTGGAATGTAAGCAGCTTTACAAAGATTACTTTTAACACTCCGGATTAGACGGACATGAGTGATAATGTTATTGATTTAAATCCTGGCCCACCCTTCTAAAACGTTGTTAGTGTTCACTTTCAAAAGTGTGTGAGCAAACAGTTTGATCTTTTGGGAACAAGGTAAGAGAAACAGATAATTAGTCTAAGATTAGTGAACATTTTATTAATCCAAATAATCACTCACCATCCACTCATTAATTTGCATGGCTTTTGGATCATGTTTAATTTTGATTGTTACAATTACTTTGCTAACCATTGGAGCTATTTTATTATTCCTTCAGATGTAAATGTGCTACCAAGCATTTGATTACATGAGTGAATTTGGGAGTTCTTAATGTATTGTTTTTAGCTAGGCTATCAATTCTCATTTGTAGTGTGGTCTTACAAGCTATGGGAAGTATTGTGATTGGTCTTGATGAACAAAATCAGTCTTGAACTCTTGAAGCATTCTCATTTCCCAGAATAGCTGATTCATCCAGAGAGAAAGTCAGTGGGCAGTTCCTTTGCTGATGCTAGCAACAAGTGAAAGCTGTGATTTATATTTAACATTATTGTAATTCTACAGTTAGACCATAACGATGTTGATACTCTGAAATACACTGTCTTGGTAGTCATTAATATTCAGCTAATGCCTGCAATAATCAAGTTTCATACCTGGTGTAACAAAAAGTAAGACCATTATTCTACTTTATACACTACAGGGTAATTTTCTTAATGTCAAAGATACTAAATTTAATCCATTTTTGTTTTTTTATTTCTATTTTGAAAATTGGTTGTTTGCAGGAAATCCTGTGTGCCCCAGCAGTGTGATGTGCTTTGATGTGAAGGGCTCTATATAAATGTAAACTGTATGGCCCATTTAAGAAATTGCTTGACAATAATTTGCTGTCTTTAAAACATAATGCTCAAAACATCACCTCTTCATAGCCAGTAAGACCATTTTGTCTTAAGATTTAAGATTACATAGAATTGTGAAAAATTCACAATTTAGTGTTAATTTATATTCTGTGAAGTGCTTTGAGATGTCTCTAAGATGTGATAAGGCACTATATTAAATGCAAGGATTATTATTATTATTATTCATTTGGAAGCAGATCTCAAAACGACCATTAAAACTGAACATAAATTTTTTTCACAATTCTGCACGATCTTAAATTTTTTCAAAAAAATAATCTTGCGGGCTATGATGTGTAACTCTGTGCCTGAGATACTGTAAATAATTTGTACATCATTTTACAGTTTAAAAAAAATAGCACCTCGCCTCTTTGTACAACAACAACTTGCAATTGTATAGCTTCCCTCATGCAGGGTAGCATTCCAGAGCACTCTGTAGTTTAAATGTGCAAAAAGACTGTTGGCTGGAATATTAGATTTTACCTTTTACCGATTTTATTTGAACCTATAGACTGTTTCCCTGCTCAGGACAGTGTATTGGTCATTTGGTTGATCCTCTTTTTTAAAAAAATTCAGTGGTCAGAAGGATGAGAATAGACGGAGGAAAAGTGATCCTCACATTTCATTGGCCTATGAATGTTGCCTCTCATTCAAAAGTAAATTTTTGTGAAATATTTTATATCTTTGGCAATTCTGCTTTGCATCTCTGTGTAGATAAAATGGAGTGTAATCGTGTTCCAGCATCAGAAATGCCTATACTAGTGAAATATGTACACTCGATTCTTTAATGAAGAAGTTAAAAATGTATATCAAACGGATTTCAGACTTTGGCTTGACCTGATCTTAGACCACATGTACTCTATGTACACTACATGAGGAGGAAACCACATCCTATGTTCCCGTGACTGTTTAAAAAAAAGTGATTTTATGACTGTTTACATACTGTTTAATGTTTCTTGTTTTCTATTCTGAAAACAATTTACTTTTACGGAACACTCAGTTACAAGATCTAATTACAGGATTGGAGTGGATTATAGAAAATAAACCAACAGGATGCATAGCTCATAAATGCCTGAGATACTTGGCATACAGCTTGAATTAATACACAAATGGTTTCTTCATTGCTTCCCAGTTTCAAGTGAAATTGGAAAATGCGGAAAAGGGAGATGTATGAATCTGTTTTCTCACCATTTTCCAGTGATCCTTGATCTTTGTAGGTATGAGTAGAAAGAGTTGGGGTATTTTGTTCTGAGTTTTGTTAAATGATATTTTAAAATCCTATTCCTTTTCTTGGTTTGTCTCTTACCAATCACTACCATCCCCAGGTAGTAATCGTTTTCAGAATTTTCATCTCATTGTGACTGACACCTGGGATTGCCTAAAAGCAGCCAAACATGATGATGCCATTGAATTTCCCTCCCTTCCTGTCATGTTATTGGCTTCCACTTTGTGTTTTGACTGGTTAAAGATTGTGTTAAAGATTGTACAGAAGAATATGGAAGTTTGAATGCTTCATTTGGCAGCTGTCAACTTTAACTTCCCCCAGATGGCGATATGCAGATCTCTTCTGGTAATAAGGTGCAATAAGGGAGGGGCAAGATGTCAAAAACAATCCTTGAGAGTTGCACTTCATTACTTGTTGGTCAAAAGAGCCACATAAATGGAGTCCTCTCGACAGTAATGTAAAGAGGTGCAAACCATGGAGACTACTGAGGTGGTAAATTGGAGATCAAGCTATAGAAGCTTAACTTGAAAAATATATTCAACGCCATACTCTTTAATTGTCCCTATCTGAATAATATTGATTAGGAGAAGAGAAATGAAATTGATGATGAATCTTGGTTAGAATTTGTCCAAACTATTTTTGTAGTGACATTGCTGATCAACAACATCTTGCACTTCCAGACTTTCATAATTATAAAGTTAGCGTGTAGTGTATTCTGTTCCATTGGGTGAGCCGGACACTATTTACTTGTACTTTTGGGACTGTCATGGACAACGCAGCATTAATTAATGCTTAATGAGTGAAATGAATAATAATCATTACTGAATGCATATCTGAATTCAATGTGCAGAATCCTACTTTAGTCGAGGTATAAGGAAAAGTTAAAATCCTATCCAGAGAGGACTGAAATGCATAGAAACAGGGAAGTCATTACTTCTAAATTTTTGACATCTTTCTACAGTTTAACTGCCACCTGTGGGAGCCATTTGTTCCTAACTAGGAAGTCTGATATCTGATTTCTGTTAGCTGAGGCAAAACCTCAACAAAATACTGATTCTTAGTAGTACTTATGACTTTTGTTGTCATTAACATATCCCATCCATCACATTGGAGCAAGTTTGACCATCTTAGTCAGAGGCAGTTAAATAATAGTTTCTAATTATTCTGAGGTTGGCCATTTCAAATAATTTTAAAAATTCTTGGGATTATTAATGCTAATTAATCAATTGCCTGGATTAGAATCCCACATGTCATATCTAAACGTAATGCAAAATATTTTCTGAATTATGTCGAATGTGATACGACTTATGCAAGTTTAACATATCTCACATTTGGCATAAGGCATATTGAATATATGGTCCCAACTGATACGACTTATGTAAGGTTTTACTATAGTATCCAATGGTTTTTTATTCATTTTGTGTGTTTGGAAATAGTAAAATTTCAGTCTCTAAATATAAAGTTGGTTTTGCTTGTGACAGACATTACAAAAATAGTTATATGTCGTACTAGATTTTCCCGCTCTGCAAAGTTTCTTTTTTGTACAGACTTAGCTTTCAGAAAGGTGCAGCTAATTTGAAGTCTGCCCTGAATTAGCTGATCTCAGACGGTATGAAAATAGGAGATTGCAGCCACCTAGATTTAGAAAAGAACTAAGGTTTCTGCTCTTGATTCCAAGTCAATGAGTGTTGCTGGAGTTGAGAGTGAGTGTGTGTGTGATATACAACAGCAACAAGATTACATTTGTATAGCGCCTTTCATGTAGGGAGGATGATACACATGGATGCTGGGATAGAACATGATACGCTCATGTTTTTTTCATCCCTCCCACCCTCCCTTCCCATTACTTGTCACTTTAGCAAGAAGTCTCCTGAAGCTAACTGGCATGGCTTGCATGTAAATAACGGTCAGCTTTAGCATGGTACCAGAAGCAGCTGTTGTCTGTGGAACCATGTCCCAGTAGAAGGAGAAGTTAAAAAGGCATTCAGGAGAGGAAGGGAAAAAGTTGGTGAGAAACAAAATCATGCCACTTGTGTCAAGTTATTCTGATTTAACAGAGATTTAAAGAAGTGCTACAGTATGTGTTTTTGTTACCTTATAACAGAAAGAAGAGGGTAAAATTAAAGGTCATCTCAGTAATTCCGACTCCACCCAATACATCCGAGAACTAAAGGATCAGATAGAAGAGTTGAAGCATGAGGTAAGATAAAATCTGAATTTGCTTTCTGTTAAATTATTTCTATTTTCACCCAAACATTTTTTTGTACAGACTTGGCTTGCTGAAAAGTGCAGCTGTCTTTGATATAAATCTTTGATTGCAACGGTCTGCTGTAAGATCATCAATGTACATCTTTGTAAAAGTAACATTCCTTATCTTATTTCCCTTTCCTCCTTTTTTTAAACCCCTCATTTTTATCTTTGTTGAATTTTGATGTACCGAGTTTGTGACTGGAGGCTCTGGTTTCAACACACACTTGCTGTACATTGCTGAATTTACAAGGGTTGTTCCATTCGGTTATTTCTTCTGGTTTATTCATTATAATTACTTGTTGCTGCTTTTACATTATTGGAAGGTGAGTCTCAACTGCTTCTCATGACCCTTCTTTTGCTAACGCTTAAATTGATATACACTAAGAGAGGTTATTACTATTGGAACACTTGCTTAAGATGCAGATTAGGCCTATTGCTGCACATGCCTGAATTGTTCAAAAGAGGACATAAATTTCACATGCTTATTTTTTTNAGAGAGGATTTACTCATTTGGAGTTGCTTTGTTTGTAGCCTTCATTCTAAGAAAAATCCTATTGCAGTTGATGCTTGTATGTTGAAATATTATTCAACATCATTGGGAAGTTATATTTAATGCTCTGCATCACTTTGTAAGAATGTTCAGAACTCCACTAAAACTGGTGTTGATTTTTAAAGAACTGGTTGTCTGATCAATTAGTAATAAATTATTAATAGCATTAAAAAAGATTTGTTTTGATTGGACCATTTTTAGTGAAAAGTGAATTTGAGTGAATTGATGTCCTGGCAAATCGACTCCCCTAGATGTTCTCAGCAGTTGACAAAGCAAATCATGTACCTTGGACAGGATTTAAACTGCTCTTCACAGCAAATCTACTCAACTTTCATAGTGAACCACCATGAAAATGGCAGAATAAACTAAACATTTGCACCAGTGGAGGGGTTTAAGGGACAGTATCTAATCTCCGCAGTCTGCAATAAGCTACTTTTTTTTAAGCAAAAATCATTTCCTGAAACTGGAATCTGGAAGACAGAGATGGTAAACATTCAACCATTGCATGATTAATGGTGGTAATTGTTTTTATTTTTAAATGGAACATCTCAGTTAAAACACTTAAAATTCACAGTCGCGACACTTAACAGCAATTACCTCTGAAGTAGATGTTTTGATCACTGTATCAATTGGCAGATTATTTACTTCTGTTACTTGGATTAAAAGGTATCACAGTTTCTCAGACCATTGGCTGTTCAATTGTGGGCCTTGTGTAAATTTTGAACATCCCCTTTATATCCAGGCTTCACAGTTAGAGCTCTGAGCTTCCCCCACAGAGATGTGAGGAATCACATGCTCGGAACTAAAATGGCTTATTTCAGATCACTTTAAGAAAAGGTTTCGACCTTCAGATTATATAATGTAACTGATGTATCTAACCTAAGATGTGTTTATTTAAGTTTATATTTTCTTTGATCCCCCCCTAGATTTTCTCCCCTACCCACCTCTTGTATGCGGTGACTCTTGCTGGAGTACAAGGGTTCCGGGATACTACCCCGTGTGAAGGGTGCTATGTAAATGCAAGTTGTTATTGTTGTTTCACACCCGGCAAAATTTTAGTTTCTCGTCATGTAGCTATTCCTTATGACATTAGACGAGGAGTGTCAGCAAGCTCTGCAAACAAAAAGGGCATTACAGTTGAGCCCAACCCTATTCTCATTGATATCCACATGCACACTTTCCAGCAAGGGTCGTTTATTTTAACCTCTCCTTAGCTGGTTGAGATTACTTAACTGATATGAAATCAAATGTACAACCCTCTGGACTTACTTAGAGCTGGACCAAAAGATGCCTTTGCCCAGAAGGTCATTGATGAAGTCCATTCACTTATTTTTTTTACGGGTAACTTTATTGAAGCCTAGTCAATTTAAATACCAATATTAACAACTGCAAATAAAAAAAACATATTAGAATCTCCACAAAACTGAAGTCATTACTTGATTTGTTTCACAGAAACTTTAGTGTCATGTAAATATTTAATGTCATGTTCTTGTCACAATCTGCTTGCCGTTCCCTTTTGACTAGCAGTTTCAATGAGGCAATGAAGGATTCCGTTGTAATATAGAGGTTATATTGATGTCAGTGTCATACAGTTTAGTAAATGATAAAGCCTATCGATAAGGAACTTGTTGGTTCAAGCTGGAGAGTTCAAGTGAAGCATTTTAAAAGAAATAAAAAGTTTAACAAACAACTCTTAACTTGTACATTCAAACATGTAGTATTTAAAAATCTTTTTGTAACAGCTCAAAGCTATTTTTAAATTCTATCGTAAATATTTTTTACATTTTTAACTGACTTAAATACAGAACTTAAACTTGACTGTTACGTTAACTCACCTGCAAAAACGTTCAATGTTAATTAAGAACGTTTATACACTTGTTGCTGGAATATTATCATGGACTGACCCTGATATGGCCCTTTTGCATTACCTTTATCAGCAATGAGATCTGTGATTTTACTTCTCCAAATGTTCGTAGAAAAGTAAGAGAAACAAAGTTGCACATTCATCTTCCTGAAGATAGGGATGTGCTCTATGTGAAATGTGACCACAAACGCCCAACAGACAGCTCTTAAATGAGGGAAATGAAAAAGACTTAAATTGATGGCTGCTCTAATTGTTTAAGAAACTGCAACTTTTTGTTAGTCTTTAAATAAAAGTATATTTCACATAAAATTTCTGTAATTTATCGATTTTACTACACTCCAAATTCTAAAAGTTCCTTTTATTAAATTCTCCACTTCTCAGCTGACATTTGATACCAGTTTGATACCCTTTTATACCAGTTTGCCTTGATGTTGCCTCATTAATGAGAAGTGGGCAGGGTGGGCAGTGTACGCCTACCACTTTGAAAGCAAGTGCCTGAAAGACACGAGGCATGAGGCACTTTGGGCCCAGGTATTGTTTTTTGAATATTGTGCTTCACCCATTATTCCCTTGTACTGTGGGATCCACCTGAGAATTGACTACATTTCGACACCCTGCAACTGTTGTTGCAACACCACTACAATATTATGCCAACATGCTAACTATCACGGCTTGTATATCTCATCTATTTGTGGATGAAAAAGGTAGCCCTTCCACTTCTATTTGCATTGGCGTTAGTTCTAATTTAGGTACAAAGGTTGTTTCAAATTCATAGGGGCCAGGGCTCTCGTTTGTTATTTTACTTACTAGAAATGTTTCAGAAACTTACATTTATATATTGCCCTTCATATGCATCTCAAAGTGCATTACAATGGCAGGTCGGATGCTGAGCAAAGGGAAAGGGAGAAAAAGGAAATGACCGTAGACATGGTCAAAGAAGTAAGTTTTTGTCAGGGGTGAGATTTAAAAACATAAAAGAAATGAGACTGAGGGGTAGAGGGAAGGGACTTAAGTGTATAAGAGAGAAGCTGAAGTGGAGGTTCAGCCACTGGTGGTACTGTGGAGAGGGTGGAGGCCGAATGACAAGCCCAAGTTAGCTGAAAGGAGGGCATGAGTAGAAGAGTGAGGTAGAAAGTCACAGAGATAGAGAGATGCTAGAGTTTCAAGGGATTTATAGATGAGGCTGAAAACCTTGAAGTTGATCTGTTGGGAGATGGTGAGATGGAACCTGATGAGGACTGGTATGATTAACGACTACTACTAAAATTAACTACCTGGGGCTCCAGTCTTCATGCATATGTGTGTATATATAAATATGCACAGTGAATAAATGATACCATATATATGGTCTTATTTCAGCTAATTTACTAAGAGATTCTTGTAAACAGACAACAGTGATTTGACACTGAAGGAATTCAAACCACATAGGTGCAAAATAAACAAGTTTTGATGTACATCTAATGTTTCTGAAACAAAGATAGTATAAAATGTAACCACTTTCAAACTTAAAATAATTTGATTTGTGTGCTTATAAACACAAGCGTGTTCGTAACTTTAAACAACAAAAACCAGTAATTCTAAGAAGGGGGGGGCTTTGTAGTTTTTTAAAAAAGTAAACTCTTTTTGTCTCTTAAGAACAAGAGGTTTTAGTTTCCTGTTGAGGGTTGTGTGTGCTCTATAGATAATGGAAAAGTGCTCAAAAGATGACCGGTGAAATGCCAGTTCACTCACATGTTGCTTGTGGCACACCACAAGCTACCTTCAGAGACTGGTATTGCTTTAAGACCACCTATTTCTAGGTTTAAAACCTAATGATCGAGATAAATATTGTTCGAGATAGAAGACGTACTACACTGTGTTCATTATGTGGAGAAATTACTCTGTCTAGGGTGAAATACTTTTTTTTATTGTAAAGACTGCAATAATGGTAATAAGTGATTTGCAAAGCAGATAGATACTTTCACACCAATAAATAGCAGTAATCAAACATGCATAGTATTAGTAATGAATACTGTTTCTTAATCCTAATTTTAGTACTTATCCAGTATTGTATCCCATTTATGTGACAGCACGCAACAGTCAGGATTCTTCTTTTCAGAGGAATTTTCTTAATTTCTACAAACCTATACTGAATAATTATAACAGTCTTTGCATTTGGTAGAGTACCTTATCACATCGGAAGGACATTTCAAAGTGCTTCGCAGGAATTACTGTGAAATGGACTGATGATGTATTTGTAGGCAAATGCGTAGCACAATTGCACACAACAATGTCCCACAAACAGCCATGAAATGAATGAGCAATTTTATTTGGGGATTGTTGGCCAGGACACTGGGAGAAACTCCCTTCTCGTTTCGATTTGTGCCATGGGATTTTTAACATCCATCTGAACAGACAGACAGAAACTCCAATGAAACACACCCCCGGTGCTGCATTGGGGTATCAGCTTAGACAATAATAATAATAATAATAATAATAGGCTGAGTTTATGTAGGATTTGAACCCACAACAACAAAATTACATTTGTATAGCGCCT